TGTGAGCTTACGCACCTCTCCAGAGATTTCAATCTCGGGATTCTGCTGCATCGTAGCTTCACATTGATCAAGCATGCGAGATGCACACCCCGCGATTGGTACCGGTCATTTTCTGTGTACAGGAGAATCAGAAACACCTATCAGCGAGACATCATGAGAAGATAACAGTATGAATACCCACTTTAATACGTTCATGAAAGAATGCCGGTGCTACGAGTCGGCGGTGATGACTCCATTCCTCTCCAGTAACAGAAGCCAATCCACGACCAAGGAACAAGTTCGTGAACCGCAGCCGGGCCTCCGATTTATCAAAATGAGAAAACTTCTTAGACAAAACCTCCCTTACGATCTCAGGCTCCGAGACCGATATCCTTGGTTCAGTTCCCCACCAGAACACAAATCTCTTCCCTGGACCATGATCATCAGAAACGAAGCTTTGAGATTCATCAGGGATGACAAGAACATACCATATTGCTTCCGCCATTTGAGCAACGCAGGATGTACCCGATGGAAGATGTCGTGGCTGAAACTTTCCATGTCGTGATCCTTGATGGCGCTCCTCATGTTCTGGATTTCAGCTATTTGACCTACCATGAATCGGGGTGAAGGCCCCTGAATGCCCTCCTTCTTCAGCTGCGCCGCGATCGCCCTGGGGCGCCACCAGTAGACCGTCACGAATCGCCATAGTGCTGCAGTGAAGAGGACGATGCAAATGCTCAAGATCCATCTCCCTTCCATATGCTGGACTAAGAGTAAAATATGTGGGAGACATGCCAGGGCGAGTGCATTTAAACGAAGCAGATGGAGTGTTGTACACGTAAAGATCTATCCCTACGAAGCTACTTGGAACTGTCTGTTCACTCTTCCAGGATATACATCAAATTCAAACTAGAGTTTTAAATAGTTTATAAATATTGATATGGATATGCTTTATTTTGCCATTGGATTGAAAAAGCATATTTTAAATAATTCTAAATCCAAGCCATCAATCAGCATTATGGAATAGATTAGCAATTGCCTATCAAATGCTGGGTGGCTGGTGCCATTTCAAGAGGTTTGCTGAGGTTATCTATGTTTGTTTGATCAACACTAATCTAGCAAATAACAAAACCTAGACACAAGACTGGCACACCTTTTCCAGGCTGTGGTGAGCATTGAAAAAGCCTCCCATGCTTTGCATTGTGTCTTGACTACCACCAGCACTGCAGAAGCACAAATGAGCCCGGTTTATCAATCAACAATCTGAGCCGATCGTGTTTGTCTACTGGAACACTCTGAATGCAGAGAATGGGCAGGAAGATCTAGCTCTCTGAGTTTCTGAATAGGGCAAAGGATGAAGGAAGGTGGTTGTGTAACAGACGATGCAAGCTACTTCAAGGGCCTGGCCGTTGGAGAAGAAGGCAAAGAGCTCAATGGGAAGCTTGTCAAAGTTTTGGAGAATACAATGACGCTTGGGCTGTGAGAGGTGGATGGGGTTTGCAAGCTATGGCTTCGAGAACTCACATTGGGCTTGTTCTCTCATGTAGAAGAATAGGGACTACAAACTCTTGATGGTTCTAGCCACGTTGAAGGCTAGCTCTGGCTCTAGCTCTGCCGCTCGATGGCGTCCACAAACCCAAATGGACACATCTCAAATGTCTACAGCACACAAAAGGCCAGATTGCTGTGGTTCAAGGCCAAATTAGTGGCCGCTGTTATTGATTGTATGGCCAGCCCATTAAGACACTTGCGATCTAGCTACTGACACCTACAACCGGCACAAAGTTTCTTCTTCTTGATTGTCACACTAAAACTACAAGAAAAAATGCTCAATGTCAACACCTAACTTACTTTCTTGGTCTATATCCTAGAAGCTCTGAATTAATTCTAGTGTTAGTCAACCAGAAGTAAAAGCATCAGGCTGTGATGTAGCAGCCATAGAAGTGTCGATTCCAAATGACTGTGGGCAATCCTAAACTTTATGTGGCATGAGCCCAGCGACAATTCTCGGCATGATCATCCTTCATCACCACTCAATGATGCTAAGAGTACATGTTATTGGGAATGGATCCAAGGCAGTGGGCAGATTTCTCTTGTCCTGGGTGCAATGTGATTCCTGGACCAACATGTGTCTTCTCTAATCCATGGCTTTCACCCATAACACCCAATGAGCTTCTTCTCTTCCAGCCAACATGCCCATTATTGATTGGCCATCCAACCATCAATGTGATTTTTCCCACAACCATGGCTACCGACCCTGGCCCAGGCCTAGGATCCAATGGCTTTAGCTAGTAAGAGTTGCTAGATAGGATTGTAAGGACAATGACAATGGACTTATCCCTGGTCAGCCAAACCCTCTTGAAGAAAACCATTAAACAAGATAAGATGCATGCAAAAGGAAATGGATAAGACTGTAGATATAGGATCTGCTACTGTGTGAGATCATTTGGGCTGGAGAGATGTTGACTTCTGCCAGGGTATCCAGGGGGAGAGGTCCTTCGTCTCCCCACCATTTGTATACTAGCACAGGCACACACATTTGCACTAAGTTAGAGAATCTAGTGTCAATCCAGTATGCAAGGAAGTAGATCATTCTTCAATGGTCTAAGCAATCATGCTTAGCACATACCATGAAGATCCCCATGCTTGAGTGGTGCAAGCTCCTAGGCCTCCATCTCTAGCATTGGGCATTACTGGTCCATTGCTATCCATTGGACCATAGGGAAAGTTAAAAAATAAAAAATGTTTATTGTAGTTTGTTTTTTATGTTTTAAGGTGTAGTAAAAGAGGAGTTAGTTGATATAAAGCTTCTTTGTATACAATATTGATGTGTAAGCAATTAAATTTTCCATTCTACTTTAGTCACTTAACTACACATTCGACCACTTCGAGGAGTCTCACTCATAACCTCTATAAGTTTTATTCTGGACTTAAGGCTTGCTAACCCCAAGAATGGCATCCATGCCACTCAACCTTTGCACTTGGTCCAAATGCTCCACGTGTCCAATTCCATAACCGACACCCAAAGGTACCACCGACATATCAGCCCGTTATGCTAAGGCCATGCCCATTCACATTTGTTACACCAATGATCCAACACCACTTACATCACAATTCCATCTCTCAAAGATTAGCCATCCATCCATGAGTGATCATCCTAAACATTCTTTAGCATCTTTAGAATGCTCGTAAATATGGGGAATAGCTTTCCCCAATATCTCTTTTTCAGTCCCTACCAAGTTCTTTTCTGTCCATGGTTGCATTTATCAATACTGCCACTGGGTCAAGATCCATAGGCCTGACCACTATATTCAACTGTCTTCTAGGACTTCCTCACCATGTGACTGTATCCTTGGTCACTACACCAAAGGACTGTTCTTCTTCCTTTCCATAATCCAGAACTTTCGAACAACATTTTGGAACACTATAGCTCTATGCAAGCCTCATAGGTACTCTCTCCACCTTCTGCCTTTGAATGCTCTAGCCATGGGGCTAGAGCGAGGTTTTGTTAAGCCACACTAGGTATCTAAGTAGGTAGTGCCACCCACATTTGGACTGGGAGCATCGACCATTTGAGGGGGGGTTAGAGCTGGCTCTTGAACACTTCACCAAGCTACTCTACTTATTTATCCATATTCACTCTAGTTTTGGATTCCTTAGTGGACATATTATCACCCAACACATGGGCATAACTTTCTTAAGTCACACTAACCTTTCCTAGCCAAATTGGCTCCACTAAGGCCCAACCCCCTCGCACCCCCACACACACACACATTGTATTTAGACTCAAACTCAGACTCAGACTCGGTCTCAATCTCGATCTCGGACTCAGACTCGGTTTCAGTCTTGGTCTTAGTTTTGGTCTTGATTCCATCTCGGGTTCTATCTCGAACTCCATCTCGGGTCCATCTCAGGTCCATCTCAGACTCCATTTCGGGTCCATCTTGGACTCCATCTCGGGTCCATCTCAAACTTCATCTCGACTCCATCTCGAATCCATCTCAGACTCCATCTCGGACTCATTTTCTAGAGAATCATTTATTACTTGCTTTGAGCTCATTCCTTGAGCCCTTCTTGAGAGTTCCATTCTCACTTTTGACTTTTCAAGTTGAAGCTTTCAGTCCAAACGTGTTACACTTGTTTAGCTTCCGCTTCAACCACTACCACATGGCACCCTTTTGGCTCCACTTTGGGGTTTAGGGATTTGTGTCTCATATGATGGTGAATGTTGATGAATTGAATGAAATTAAACGGCCTTATGTATGAGTTGTGTCAACTTGAATTGCAAGTTGTTGTGGTAATGTGCATCTTAAAAGTGCAACATAGAGCTACCCATCAGTAAAGATTAGTTGGAAGTAGATGCCTCTACGATCAAATGTTTGATATTGGCACTTTGAAATTGTCAAGTAGTATTCAAGACAAAGAGGAAATTGTTTTTAAGACATATAAAATGGAACATTTAAATTAGAGGGTGTTAAGTTAATGCATGGGATAAAAGTTCTAGTACCTTTAAATTCATCTATAATTATTTCATAGTTCTAAACTTTAGGCAAATTTCTTTTGACCATTAATCAAGTCCCATTGCATAATCCAATTGTTGGAGACATGTTTCTCAGAAAAATACCTATACAACCTTCAATTAGTATCAATTTGTATAGTGGCAGTCTAGAGGAGTGATAGAATTTAGAAATTCAATTGGGAAATCTTTAAAATATTCAGTATCAATGGAGTTAATGCTAGTGTAAATTTGATACTATTTTAAAATTGTTGAAGGAGTCACACTTTTTTTATGAAGAAGAATAATACATAAGTGATACAATTTGGTATTTAGAGGAGATATTGAGTATAATCAAGGAATAACCTTTTTATTTTTCTGACATTGCCATACATTAGCAGATTTATTAAAAACATAATATAAAGGTATTTGAACATATATATATATTGTTTTGCATTTGGATCATGAATATTGAATTCCAACCACCCTCACACCACAGCATTTCATCTCTAGAGCTCTTCTGACCAATGGGTATTTGATCATTATCCCCTTGGACTAACTATCACCCTACCACCATAATGAAGGCTATCATCTTTGTCCCCATTGTTCCCCATTTACAAAATCAATGGTGAACGTTTTGCACTTTACTAGCAACGGGTGGCAAAATTGTGGAACTCTAATATTTCTTCTATACACCTACCAAGCATGCTTTATTGCTCTTTTGTGTCATCACCATAGCTGCCTAATATATTTTCCCATAACGCAAGATAAATCACATTAGTAGGTCCCTAAGAGTTGTTTGGTGGGATGACAAATGTGGTCAACTTCATCGAATTAAACAACAAAAAGTCAAACAAAGTGCTTCTAATGTAGCAATTTTCCAGCAATATTTTCAATGACTATGTAAATGGAAATAACACTAATATTGTATTCAGAAGAACTTAGAGAATGTACGGCAATTTTAAATATCACTTCATAAAACCTCCAAGATTTTCAAAAATCCTGTAAATCCCATCCTTCTCAACAACATTAAGATTTGGGTGAACTACTTTAGACAGCTTTACACTCAGCACATAAAAGACTCTACCACTTCCCAATCACAAGCTCCAATCCAATTTAGTAAAAATGACATTCTCACTACGATTGATCGTCTTCGCAAACAAAAAGCCCTACATACCTGGGGTCTCACAGCTGAATTGCTCCAAGCATATGACAAGAAGTTCCTAGCATGCATACTCTGCCCAATCTTTGAACAAGCAGCAAATGAAAATTTCCCTTAATAATGGACTTTAAACCATGTAAATCTGGAGATTCTATGGTCCAAGAAAATTATCAAACCATTATGGTGAGCTATCTTCTCCATAATTCTAGAGCATCACCTTGTCTCTTGGAGTGAGACCAACTCCAAACAAGTTGCTGGCTTTCAACCTAAATTAGATCATCTCCATCACACTGTGAACTGTGTATGAATGAATGATACACAAGAAGAAGAAATTGTTTTATTGCTTTATAGACTTTTGTAAAGCATTAAAGCATTTGACATAATCCCATGAAAGGAACTTTTTCAGTGACTTTGAGAGCCAAATATTCCACCAAAGTTGGTATAGGCCATTCAACAACTCTATATAACAATACTTGTAGAATATCCAGGAAGTCGACCAGTGGAATGCATAATAAGCAAGACTGTCCCTTATCCCCTATGTTGTTTAGATTGTACATTGATATTTGAAACACTTCTTCACGACGAAAATCTTTTTGACATTCTACCTCCTCCTATATGCAGGTGATTTGCTCCTGTTTTCCACAACTCGTCAAGGCCTCTAGCACCAGCTAGATTTTCTTGTGACCTTCTGATAAACTACTGGTTTATTTGTGAACCTTATGAAAACATAGATCATGGTATTTGGTCATCCATGACAACGAAGTGACAACAATGACCTCCATTACCAACACCACTTGCTGGTCAAAGTAGAAAATTACAAGTATTGGGTATATGGTCCACCACAAGAATCCCTAGAAGGCTAGGACAATAGAATGCATTCAAGGAGCCACAAGAGCATATTACTCACTCCAGAGTGATCTCAAGCAAGCTTTGGAGGAGGACAAGAGAGATCCTTGCTACTACTGCTACCACTGCTGCTGATGCTAGCATATTTGTTTCAAGCGCATTGGCAGTGAAGCAGAGCAGCAAGGATTCTTGGTATTTTTGATAGGATGCAAAGTGATCACTATCCTCACATATGCTAGGGAGGTTTGGGGTCTTGGACTACCACGAATGATATAGAGATAAATGGAACAACTTAACCGTTGGTTCCTGAATATTGAATTTGGCTGCAACAAAATAGCAATTGGGATCTTAATTATGGAATTTGGCTTGCTCTTGATTAAACTCCAAGTATGAAAAAACACAATGCTACATCCTCAACCTCATATGCACTATTCAAGATAAAATGGTCAAATATGTTGTCTCAGATTCTATCAACCTCATTAGAGATAGCAAAGGTTGGTGGCACAATCTTCACTCTTGGACAAAAGATTTGGGCATGGATCTTGAGGCCCCCCTCCACGAAAATACTACAACAGTCCCAAGCCATTGGCTTGAGTGAGCTTTCTAATAATGGGGGCTTAATATGATACAAGATTCCAACACTATCTATTAGCTATCAACCTGCAACAATTTATTGGTATTGCTATCGGGACGACACCACTGCAGAATCCTGGCATGCTATTGAGTGGGACAACATCGCCTGCACTCAGAAGTTGGTAATTATGAGGGATGCAAGTTACCCTGAGAGGACTGAATCTGTTATTTATGCGCTGAAGACATTGAAACTGTCCTACACTTCACTCTGCATTGCATTGCATACAAACAACAATGGCACAAAGAACCGGTCCTCAATTTTGAGCTGCCCCTCCCTCTTGTCCTCCAGCAACGGCAACACTAACGACTTTGTGAGTACCCATTGCCACCACAAACCTGCATGATGAGTTGCTTGCCATCCTTGAACCTTTGAACCTGCATGTCCCCAACTCCACACCAGCAGTACATAGGATTGAAATAGCTGTTATAATTACTATTAGATAAAATGATGGTGAATGGTATTTCTTCACCACACAAATTAATTTATTTGTTTTTTCCTTCAGAATTGGAGCTATGAGCACATTGACAGAAACGTAACAGGACAAATTCACATTGACAGGTTCAATGCTCCCAATTTGAATCGATTTTATTTCCTTCTGTCAAATAGAGCTGGGGCTTGGGTAAAAACCTAGTTTTTCAATGTCAGTATAGCAAAAGGTCGGAAAGAACCACCCATCAAAAACTGCAAACACACCTTTGAGTGAGTTCCTTGGGTTCAGTTCAGACACTAAAAAAAACTCTAACGTGTTCATTTTGGACAGCTCCAGATCCTAAGCAGCTGAAATTTCTCTGTTTGCAAAGCTTTGGAAGCTTACGGCCCCTTTCTGTGAGTTATGCTCGATGATACAGGCTCGATATGCAGGATCGTTTACAGCGGATCGAGACAGCGGATCGTTTACAAACGCATTCTATGCTTGGGTGGCGAGATATACTTCTTTACTGCCACCCATCCAGAAGTATATACGTGTAAAACTACACCAATTTTTTGGTTTTTCGATCGCTCAAGTTCATCTTTCTCTACTTACAATGAGCACTGATTTGTTTAAACATGTTTTAATTCGGATACTATCTGACAAAGATCCCATTCTGAGAGGTTTTAGGAAGCATTCTTTCAAATGTAGAATTTCTCATCGGTGGGTGCTTTCTTCTTTGAGGCTGGAGGATACTGGGTTGAGCTGTGAGCCAGCTGAATTTGATAACATCAGAGTTTTGTACAAGAGAATTAGCAGCAGCAACACAAGCTCTTGAAGCAGCCTCCAGCGTTTAATCTGTCAAAATTCTGATCCTCTGCTCCATGGAAGAAAAGCTGGAGCTGGTTGCTTGTTTGCTGCTTGCTTCATACCTCGTCTTCACCACCAATGGAATCGCTGCGCCTGCTGCTGCTGCTACTCCGGTGGATGATGTTGTACTTGCACAGGGGGCAAGTAGCGTTTATCCTCAGCCACTTGACAATGCACGAGCCATGGAAGTGGTGATTGCAAGGCAACTCACGCAGCTCCGCGTCGTCTTCGTACGAAGACAGGCATATGCAGCACTCCTGAAACACAAACAAAACAGTCAATTCCAGCAAACACAAGGAAAAAAGAAAAACCAAATTTTGCGAAAAGAAACAAGCGATTAGCAGCACACCAACCAGCCACTTACCGCATCCTCGGCAGAGAGCATGCGCTGAAACAGAGATTCCGAAGAGCACATGACTCCACCAGCAGGCAGTGCTGCCTTGTCCTCTTCGTCTGGTTTGGTGCTACTGCAACTGGGACTTTTCACCCTCTTGAACTTGAGGGTGGGCAATACGCTGATGTCCTCTTCGGAGGCACCCTCCTGCGTGTGAAGGAAATCCGTCAGCCTTTCGCTTGTACTCAACCAAACAACTAAACAAACGTACCTGATCCACAACAGCGTAAAGGATGGCAATTATACACGGAAGGCAGCAGCAAACGGCAATGCCTATCATACAAGCCAGCGCGACGCAAAACACCACGAAAAAGACGTCGAAGGCCAAGAACACGATGCACAGCCTGCAAGCAAAGTTAAACAAGAAGTGAGTAACGCTCGTCGAGCCATGGCATCTCACAAACAAAGGCATTGAATGGAATGCGAGCGAGGAGGAGTTAATTACCAATAAACTCGCGGGGAGCTCTGGACCAGAGCCTCGCTTCCGGCAGTAATCCAGTAGAATCCCACGACCCACCATACGAACGAAAACATGGTGTTTGCAGATTCCAGCCGTTTGGCCAAGCTGCAAAAAGGAAAAAAGGAAGAACCAGTTAAAAGCCTGTGCTTTTCTTCATTGCTCAATGCTAGCTAAAGAAGAAGAGGTACCTGATGTGATCGATCTCGTTGTCTTCCATGTCCTCCAATTCCATCCCAGCCCCGGAAGATCGCCTCCTTCGCCGCCTCCGGTACTCACTCACAACGCACGACATGTGGAGTACACACTGTAGAGCGTATCCCAGCACCCAAATGCGAAGAGGAGTGCACGGCTGCTCGCTCTGGCTGATGACGAGCACCACTAGAGCCACCGTGACGAAGGCCAAATTCCAGATCAAATCCAGGACCACCACCGGCCGCGAGTAGGCCCAATCGCTCTGCCGCTCGTCAAGCTGCTCGACCGCTGTCTCGCGGACGAGAATGGACGATTCTCGCATCACCCTGCCACTCCCGGCGTGGCGGAAAAACCTCGCGGCTCCCTGTATCCTACCTCTACCGCTACTTCTCCTCCATTCTTCCTCGCCGGAGCCACTGCTGCTGGTGCCCGCCCCTAGAAGTGGAGACATATCTACAATCACGGCCGGCGTCGATCCAGGCGGAAAATGTAGCACGGAATCCCCGCTCTCCATGATCCTTGTCGATCGATCGATCGATATTACGGCTTGTCCGAGCTACTGTACTCCCAGATGAGGCGACCGGGGCGAAGAACTGGGAGAATCGATCCCCAAGAACACGAAATCCCGGCCTGGCCCCCGGAATTGGCCGATCTTTGATCCCGATCTTACGAGCCAAGCCTGCGCGCACGCGAATTCCATCACTCGCGAGTCACATTTCCCGAATGAAACCGATCGATCGATCGACAGTGACCTCCACACGCCGCCAGCGTCCGCCTCCTGCCAAGAACAAAGCACTCACGCCGAAGTCCTCGTCGAGAAGGAAGATGGAAAGCCCTAGGCCTTCTTGGAGCCACAAAGTCCGCCGCGGCCACCTCCAATGCCGCCAGGCCACGTCGGACGTGGGGCAAAGATGTAGCCGTTGGGAGTGTGCCACGTGGCGAGCAATTTCCTCATGCTAAACCGTACACTCCATATCATAGCGGCATACTTTCTGGTTGCTTTCATGTCATTATGGCGAGGGTTCTTTCCAGGCCTGATTTTTCTTCCCATTTTTTAGGTCAGCTTTTGGGAGCTTTCTATAAAGATTATTTTTTGGGAGCTCGTTTTTCTAAAGATATTATAAAGGATTTTTAGTTCATCCAAATCTTGTTGAGTCTAAACAATGCTCCAAGGATTTTTCCACAGATCCCAGGCAAAATGTCAAGAGACGTGGTATGACAATGTTGGCACACATAAATTAGACTGGGAACGGATGGAGGTCTCTTTCACATCCATCTTTGAAGTTTCTTAGAATGTTTGGTGGGAATGATAGGGATTGGGAACAACCAGCTGTGATGAATTCCTTTGAGAAATACAATTTGCCCCAAGTCATGACAATATTGTTAGGTTTGAGGTGCATGATTGAACACTTTCATATGCATTCCCCAAAGCAAAGCCCAGTTGCACCACTAGAAGACTTTTCCAAAAAAAAATTCAGAAGCAGTTGCACCAGCCAGGAAGACATTTTTTTTGTTTTGTTTTGTTTTTCTTTTCTATTTAACTGCTAGAGCGGCATGAAACATGAGTTGCTTCAGAATATGTACTGAGAAGTTTTGAGAAGATGCGCTTGTCTCACTCTAGGCTAGTTCTCAGTCAGACTGGAGGGTTCACGAGTCTCGGAATCAAACTTTTCTGTGTGTAAACAGAACAACTTTGGTGGCAGCAAAAAGAAGCCAACTTTGAAAGGTTCAAAGCTTGGACATACTTCTAGACGAAGAGAGAAAGCTTCACTGAAGTTTCTAAAGAGCTGAAAAATATAATAGGAGAGAAACTTAAGCATACCTTATATTTACATGGAAGGATTACAATATGGAAAGAGTTGTCTACTGCTTGCTATCGCTAGGCTGCTCCACTACCGATTGTACAGGCACAAGAAAAGGAAAAAGCGTAAGAATTTGCGTAAGCCTACCTCCTACTCGGGACTTATTCTCGTGGCCTGGCAGCCCACAATGAGCTCAGCGCTCTCAATCGTCCAAAGTAGTCTCCAATCGCTAGAAAGGCTCTCGCCGCTTGACGAGTCGTCAATATCCTGTGCATTTGCTGGAGCGTTTGATGCCGAAGATTATCAGCCTGGTAGAAGGAAAGTTGAGATAACAATGGTGAAACCACAGATACATCACATCACCTGGCGAACAAAGTTCTCGAGCGTTCCCAGCTTTCCCATCGCCATCGCCATTTGTCCCATATAGTTGGCGACATTCGACGCAGCGCCCAAGGAGCCAGTCGCCAGAGTGTCCGCGAGTGACTGCTGCAGTGCCTCCATCCCCTGGGAGAGAGCATCCTCGGCCTGCTGCGACGACTGTTGTAGATTACAAATCCCCATGAGCTGCTGTTCTGTAAGGGGTTCAAGCTGAGGTATAAGTATCTGTGGTGTCACACAAAAACGTTAAGCACTTTCGAAAAAAACGAGGAAAAGAAAGACACAGCAGCACCTTTAGAAGTTCTGAAGGCCGGAATCCACCCATCCACATGAAGCACCTCTCGGCAGGGGTCTTCCACATACCGGAGACTAGATGGAAGACATCCGACTTCGCAGCAGCTGTTTTCAGCCGAAATATCTCGTCGTAGTGGGACATGGCGGCGTCAACCAGGACCCGCAACTCATCGTCCGAGACATGAGCTTGCAATGACGTTCGTAGTTCGGTCATTTGTCGCTGTTGCTCCTCCAGCCACCGCCCGTACTCCATGTCGAACGCAGCAGCACCTGCACTTCCAACTGGTCAGCGCTGGACTCCAAAACCGAAAAACAATAGAAACAGAAAAAACCACATGACTTTAACGCGTACCGCTGCTCGCCGCCGCATGACTCTGATCGTTTGAATACCCTCCAAGATAGAATCCCTGCAAAAGGCCTCCGCATGGAATGTCTTTATGCTAAGCTTACGCAACGCGGACGTCAAGCCAAATGATAAGCGTACCTGTTGCCTGGCTCGTTGCAGCTCTTGCTCGAGTTGATTTAGCTTCACCCTGCTGGATTCCAGTTGCTGTACATAAGCCTTGAATTCACAGCCAGAGAAACCATGCTTTGTCAGAGGCAAGTTGGAAAAGACGAGATGATATTTTCAGCCCTTCACCTTTTTCCTCAAGCGGCTTTTCCGCGCGGCCTCGCGGTTCTGTGCAAGACGTCGAAGTGTCTAAATCACCAGCACGAGAAACAATGACACGATCAAACCCTGAAGTTGCTGTTGCAGCGAAATGTAGTGCCAGGCGTACCTTTGAGTCGAGATTTTTGGTGGACGATGGAGTTAATGGTCCATCCTCGGACTGTAACGTACACACGAAAACAACGGACTCGTGAGACTCTCAAGTGATACAACATCGATTTCACACTTTTTGATCGCCATCGTCGGTAGAATTTCCCTTCTGCGGACTGCTATCGGCCATGAGCGCGTCTTCCGATCGGTGCAACTGCGAGGCCACCGATGTAACCTGGGAAGACAAAATATCAAAACCACTCAGACAGACTTACGTGTTTGTTTCACCTTGCTTGAACAATCTACGACAGTGGTGATAAAAGCGGCTGACTGGTTCAAGACGGTGGAGTCTAGCGAGCAATAATTGATATGTAAGCGAAGACGGGAGGAAATATGAGAAGATTTTTGGTTTTTATGGAACCTCACCTTGTTGACTCAAGGAGGCGGAATCATAAACTCCAGAGCCGATTTTGGAGTCCCTACAAATGGCACCCCTGTTGGTTGGTTCCATCCGATTCCACACACGAAAAAAACCAATCAATCAATCCAAAAGACCCACTCTACAAGTAGCTCTGCTTTGCTTACAGCAATTGCTCCATGTACTGTTGCTCCCCACGAATCCAACGTCAAGAGCTTCGCAATTCCATGTCCTCCTGTGGCAAGCAATAAGACCCAGCACATTCTCGTTAAAGCTCCTCATGCCACCACTTCTTACCTTTGGAAGTTCTTGGTCTCATAATTCTCGCGGCCCAGTGTTCTTCATCCCAGCTCCCTGCCGATGGGAGAAATCGCTAGCGACTGTAGAGAGCGGAGAGGAGAGAGTTGTAATCGCGAAGCACTGTGTGATTAAATTACTTGACACCCTTTTGACTTCAAATCCCTCCCCCAAGCCATCACATTTGCTACCTCACGCTGACATCACGAGCTCCAGACACACAAAGTTTCCACGCACAGTCTCCGCGAGGAGCGGGCGAGAGAAGGATGAGCGAAACCTGATTGAGCGAATCCCGCGATGATCGACCGATGCGCCGTCTAGCGCCGCTGCTGCCGACGACGAATTCAGCCGCTGCTCCCACTTGCGCGGCTTTGAAATCTTCGCGTGAACAGGCGCCCGGGCGTGGAAACCCTAGCTACACAAGAGATTCTTCGCCCTTGTCCTTGTCCGCCATAGCCACGAGAGAGAAGGAAGCTGAAACAATTTTCCTGATTGGTAATAAAAGTGGAGTAACTAATGCAATTATCTGCCTCCGTTTCTTACCTTTACTTGGGGCCCATACATGCCCGTGCCATGGCATACGCCGCGCATCCGGGCCGTCCATGCCACAGCGCTCGAGATTGGTCGGCCGCGATGGCGGGAAAGACCCGATGGGCATGGTATGAAACGGCCATTCAACTGTAGTAGGAGGACCCTTCATGCACGTCGCAGGGACGAGGTCTCTGGCAAAGAGGATACGGCCGTGACGTCCCGTCAAACAGCACCACGGGACAACGCACGTCACATCATGACTGCGATTGCCAGCAGCACACACGCCACGTGTCCTCTACTAGTTAGGTCAAACGCTTTTTCTAGGTGGAAGCGGGGTTAGGGCTAGCTAAAGAGGTCGGATATTCCTTCCTGCCAGAGAATATGCTTCATGTTTTGAATTTAGGTTAAAACTTCTGGATGATTGAAGCACAATAGTTTTTTAACCATATTCATGGTTTGACTTATTGGATAGAAATCCTAGTTTAGGTCTCGAGTGTGCTCAGAAGAGTGGAAAAAAATGAGGCTGGGACCAAAAGAGATTGACAAGCTGTTGCTCCATGAAGCTGGGTTTTTGGCACAAAAGAGACTTGCTCGTGGGTTGCCTCTAAATTACCCCGAGGCTGTGGCTCTCATTGCCGCACAGGTATGTGTTTAATGTGGAGCTTTTCTCGCGGATTAAATCGATAAGAAAACCAGGTTTTGGAGTTCATCCGGGAAAATAAGAGTGTGGCCGAGCTCATGGATTTGGGAAGACAGCTTTTGGGAAAGTAAGCTTTTGATAATATTTTTCATGGATTGATCTGGAAATTTTTGCAGGAGGCAAGTTCTTCCGGAAGTGGGGCACCTCCTGGAGATGGTCCAGGTATTTTTTTGCTTTTTTTTTTCCCGAAGGTTTTATGGTTTTTGGATGAAACGAAGGTGGAAGGGACATTTGCGGATGGGACTAAACTTGTAACTGTTCACCATCCCATTGTCAAGGAGAATGGAGACCTCGCATTAGCTCTCCATGGCTCTTTTCTGCCTGGTAAGTGCTTAAACTCGATCCGGAAGAAGCGCCTCGAAACAGAAGTTTTGGAAGATCTTTCCAGTTCCAAGCGTGGATGTTTTCCCCGAGTTTCAGGAGCAGCCAGCTCCAGGAATGCTGGTTCTGGCTCCGGGACACATTTTCATCAACGCTGGACGAAAGGGTCTCAAGCTTACAGTTTCCAACACTGCCGACAGGCCTATACAGGTAAGGTTGCTTCAGAAACACGCAAGAAATCATCAAAGTCTCTCTTTGATGCTGTACACAGGTTGGTAGCCACTATCACTTTGTCGAGACAAACCCGTACCTTGTTTTCGATCGAGAAAAGTCTTACGGCATGCGTCTCAACATACTCGCTGGGACTGCTGTCCGGTTCGAGGTACAATGAGTTGCTTGTCTTCATTTCTTCTCTATCGTTTTTGGTTCCTTTTCTTTTATTTTTTTTCTCGACACTGTAGATAATAGCATGTCAGTGTTTTTTTTTGTGCGTGTTCTTCGTCAGCCAGGTGAAACTAAGACTGTTGCACTGGTCAGCATTGGAGGAAACAGCGTTATCCGCGGAGGAAACGGTATCGCAGAGGGTCCAGTTGATTCGTCCCGACTTCCAAAGATCATGGAGGAGCTGAGCTTGCGGAATTTCGGTCACAAGCAACAAAACGATGCGTTGTAAGCTGTTTTCTACGTTTCCTAGCCTAGTTGTCGATGACCTTTTGTCAATTTTTTCTTCTCCTCAGGCCAGTGGAAGATGCGTCCTGTCCAATCTCTCGTGAAGTTTACACAAACATCTTTGGACCAACCACGGGAGACAAGATCAAACTCGGCGACACCGAGTTGTATGCGCAGATCGAGAAAGACTTCACTTTCTACGGGGACGAGTGCAAGTTTGGAGGAGGCAAAGTGATCCGCGATGGGATGGGACAAGGAACCGGCTACAAGGCCGACGAGACGCTCGACACAGTCATCACAAACGCTGTGGTGATCGACTACACGGGAATCTACAAAGCGGACGTAGGCATCAAGCATGGTTACATTTGTGGGATTGGAAAGGCTGGAAATCCCGACGTGATGGACGCGGTATCGTCCAACATGATCGTGGGAGTAAGTTCTTTTATCATCTTCTTCCTCGCTACTAAGTTTTTGGATCTCGACAACACAGGTAAATACGGAAGTTGTGGCTGGCGAAGGACTTATTCTCACGGCCGGAGGCATCGATTCCCACGTCCATTTCATTTGTCCCCAGCTTTCCACTGAAGCCATTGCGAGTGGATTGACAACTTTGATCGGAGGTGGAACCGGACCAGCTCACGGAACTTGTGCAACGACGTGCACCCCTGCTGTCGATCAAATGCGGCTCATGCTACGCTCCACCGATGATTTTCCAATCAACTTTGGCTTCACAGGAAAGGCAAGCGAATCGATCACATTTTCTTGTCTAGAGTGTTTACTAACGAGTTTTTCTCAGGGAAACTCGTCCAAAGTCGAAGGGCTTGACGATATAATTCGAGCTGGAGCTATAGGACTGAAACTACACGAAGATTGGGGTACTACTCCAGCTGCGATTGATCGCTGCCTCGACGTCGCAGATAAGTTTGATATCCAGGTATTGCGCAACCGTGAAAGAAGTTGTGAAGTTCTTTTTATTCTTCACTTTGTTTCGCTTCTTATCAGGTGACTATCCACACCGATACACTAAACGAATCCGGCTGCGTCGAGCACTCCATAGCAGCCTTTAAAAACCGGACGATCCACACTTATCACAGGTGGAACTTTTCTTCTCGTTTCACTTGTTTTTCCAACTCTGGAAGTGTCTCGTTCTACTAGTGAAGGCGCTGGAGGCGGCCATGCCCCCGACATTATCAAAGTTTGTGGCCTTCCAAACGTTCTACCATCGTCCACGAATCCGACCAGGCCTTTCACCAAGAACACGATCGACGAGCATCTAGATATGCTGGTAGGAGAAAAAAAATCGGTTTCCAGAGCTTCTAACCGGGATTTCTTGTCTGATAGATTGTCTGCCACCACCTGAATAGAAACATTCCAGAAGACGTAGCATTCGCGGAGTCCCGGATTCGAAACGAGACCATTGCCGCGGAAGATATTCTCCACGACATGGGAGCTATCAGTATGATGTCTTCGGACTCTCAAGCCATGGGAAGAATAGGCGAGGTAAGTTACTCGTTCTCGCAAACTTCTTGTCTTCTCTTTTTTTTACTTTTGTTTTGTTTTTGTTCTTTCCGGTTTGTACACGACTAGGTGATCACTCGATCGTGGCAGACTGCGCATAAGATGAAGCTGCAAAGGGGGCCTTTGCCGGAAGATCGTGAAAACAACAACGACAACTTCCGAGTGAGACGTTTCATCGCGAAATACACCATCAATCCCGCAGTGGCACACGGTGTGTCTCACATTGTTGGCTCCATCGAGGTCTGTGATCTTGTCTTCCTCTTCGATGAATTATAAAAAAGTGATTTTTACCAGGTTGGAAAGCTCGCAGACTTGGTGCTATGGAAGCCAGGCTTTTTCGGAGCTAAACCGGAGCTCGTTATTAAAGGTGGCGACGTTGCTTGGGCGCAAATGGGAGATGCCAATGCCAGCATCCCAACTCCAGAACCGGTAAAAAGTCCTTCCTTCGTTCGTGGATAGTTTTCTTTTCTTTTCTTTTCTTTTCTTTCTTACATTAACCTTTGATCATTAATGATACAGGTTATAATGAGACCAATGTTTGCAGCGTGTGGCAAAGCTGCTAGCTCGTCTTCCATTGCATTTGTGAGCAAAGTAAGCATCATATCACACAATTTTCCTCTCTGTGTCGATTATATTCTAAGTTTTCTTTTGTCTCTCTTTTAGGCTGCTAAAGACTTGAATGTAGGCCAAGCTTATGGCCTCACTAAAAGGATCGAAGCAGTGAAAAACGTAAGGAATCTAAGCAAAGCGGACATGAAACTCAACAGCGAGACGCCTTGCATCGAAGTGGACCCGGAGAGCTATGAGGTCACTGCCGATAACATTCCACTGGTATGCTCCCCAGCGGAAAAACTCCCACTTGCCACAAATTACTTCCTCTTCTAGCCATAGTGTTATTTATAGTACACTCAGCCTTTCTGCTCGAGCAGCGAACAAAGAAAGCCCAAGCTTGAATTATCATGTACAAGAATCTCAAATGATAGCACAATGTTGTTCTGGTGCCATGATGGTTGAATTGGAAGCTCCTCTCAACTTATTGAATGTGAAGAGCTCTTATTCCACGTCTTCCACATCCAACAGTGTAGAGCATATATAAAAGCGCAAAGTTGTTACAGCACTAAGGCTGGAAGCCGCCTGTCCTAAGTTGTGGGACGAAGAATCAATTATCTATTATTTTGATCTGATAAATAGCATGAAAGTATAAAAGTCAATAAAAAAAGACTCTGGACTTCTATTCACTTTGAGCTTGTGACGTGTCTTTGAAACTTTGAATCGGACATTACTATGGTGTAATACATGTGCTTCTGGGAAGTCTTGGTAACTAATGCTTGAGTAGAATTACAGTGACTTTGGAAAAAAGAGGTGATTTATAAGATATAACAAGAACTATCTGGTTTTTTCACGCTTGTTACTGAGATTCCAATGAGCTTTCTCTTGCGAGAGCCATGGTGGTAGTGCTGGTGATATCGGGATCGATTGATGATCCAATTCCAATATCTCCCACATTCTTGTAAGTATACCACCTGGCGCACAGAACATAGATTCCAAGATTGATGATGCTGAGAAGGGTGAGCAGCCAGTAAAAGTAATCAATGTGAGCCCTGTTGAGATTGTCATTGATCCAGTTGCTGTCAACCCCGCCACCTTTTGTACTTGTAAACTTGACCACCATCTCCACGAGCAAGCTGCTAATGAAGCTCCCAATGGAGATGGTGCTGAGATAGAGCGCGGCTCCAATGCTTCGCATGGAATCCGGGGCTTGATCATAGAAGAACTCGTTCTGGCCGACGGAGATGAAAACCTCGCAAACTCCCGTGAGCGCGTACTGCGGCAAGAGCCAGAATGCGCTCATCGGGACCGTCAACTGGGGGCGATCTAACAGCCCGTGTTGCCTGGCCACTCGCAAGCGCTTCATCTCCACCAGTGCAGCGATGGCGATGGAGACGGTGGAAATGACCTGCCCAATCCCGATGCGCTGGAGCATCGTGATCCCGCGCTCGTTGCCCGTAATCCGGCGCGCGAGTGGCACGAAGTAGCGGTCGTAGAGCGGCAGGATGATACAAATGGTGAGGGTGATGAAGAGCGGGAAGGAGGCGGCAGGGATCTGGAATCGCCCCAAATGCCGCTCCATGGTGTCGCCCTGGTTGAGGAAGAAGGTGCCCACCTGGGCGAAGACGCTGCTAAAGATGAGGTTCGTGAACCAGATGGGCATCACTCGCACCAGGAGCTTCACTTCCTCGACTTGGGTCACTGGGCACAGGCTCCACGGCTTCACTTCCTTGCTCTGCAGATCCTTCTCGCTCACCACCGCCGCCTTGTCCAGGAATCTGCTCGCGATCAATCGAAGTAAGCTAAGATTGTTCTTCCAAGCTAGAGCTAAAAGTTTCTTTAACTAGCTCGATGGACTTACGTGAATTCTTTGCTCCTGGGGAGCTTCCGGATGTGTGGGAACTGCGCCTCCTTGTCGCTCAGCTCGTACAGCTTCTCATCGTCGTCTGGAACGCTCGCATTCCACTTCCTGGTGGCCGCCACCAGGACCTGGGCGACGCGGGTGAAGGGACTTCCAGCGGGCTTTTGGGTGCGATAGTTTGATCTCCCGGAGAAGAAGAGGAGGGTGGCGAGGGCGACGACAGCAGCGGCGCCGCCCCATCCCCACGTCCATCCGTAAGTCACCTGGATGTAGACGAGGACACTGACCGAGAACAAGTTCCCCGAGCTGATGCTCACGAACCACCAGTTGAGGAAGGACATTTTGCGCTTAGATTCCTGCGGGTCTTCCTCGTCGAATTGGTCCCCCGCGAAGGAGGTGACGTTGGGTTTGATCCCGCCGGCGCCCAGCGCCATGAGATAGAGCGCAAAGTAGAAGAATCCCGACTGGATGGAGCTCACGGGCTGGTTTTGCTCGGCCTTGATGCCCGGGACGCTGACGGACATGGTGACGAGAACCAGAGCCTGCGAGGAGGATGAATCATCAAGATACCCAAAAGTTCACAATGGAATCTAGAAAGGTGGAAGGAACAGAGAGACAAGGATGGCATTTTGGAACTTGGGAGCTTTACCATGAGATAGATGCAGAGGAAGATGGACAGGGTGAGGTATCGGCCGAGGAAAGCGTCGCCGAGAAACGCTCCCAGGAGTGGCGTCAGGAAGAGAGTTCCGCTCCAATTGTTCACGTTGGTGGCAGCGTCTGCTCGATTCTCGTGGAGCTGCTGAAAGAGATAGTTGGCCAAGTTGGAAGAGATGGCGTAGTACGCAACTCGCTCACACACCTCGCAACCTGGTGATCGATCACAGAGACACACAAAGTTCCATCAGGAACAGGGAGGGGAAGATAAAGAGAAAAGTATTAGAAGAAAGATGGAGATGATCAAGAAAGAGGAGTGTAAATATCGCAACAGCATGAGAAGCGAGTGTTATTCCGTTTGTCGCAAAAGGTGAGTGGGACATTTGCTTACCGAAGATGAGCCAACAGGCTTTCCAGTTCCCGCTTGTCGATTTCCTCGACGGTCTGTTCCACACGTCGGTGGCATTGTTCGAAACCAAGTCGTCGGGCTCCACGAATTCATCGCTGCTAAACTTCTTCTCCTCCACCGCTGCTGCTGCTGCTGCGGCCATTCCGATCGATCGATCTGGCATCGCCAAGAAACAAAACACCCGAAAAATCGTAAGCTTTTCGACGAGAAACTCTATAATGTCTACGAGGAGCAAACAAGTTCTCAAGACTGCGAGCTTTGGAGGAGGACAAGAGAGATCCTTGCTACTACTGCTACCACTGCCGCTGGTGCTAGCATCTTTCTTTCAAGCGCATTGGCAGCGAAGCAGAGCAGCAAGGATTCCTTCTTCCCGGGATTCACAGAAGAAAATGGAAAAGTACGAGAGAACTGCCCGGGTTTGTGTTTGAATCTCAAGTGGGCGTTATAGAAGAGAGAAAAACTTCGAGCAGGAGTTTCAGTAGGATCCCCGCGGCTGTACCGGATGCAAACAATCATTTCCAGCCCAAAAGATGGAAGAAGAAGAAGAAGAAAATTCTTCGAAGCGAGCGAGCAAACGAGTGAGAGAGATGGAAACTAGCATGACACAAACATGCAATGCAAGAACACACCTCTCAGACCCTCTCACACACACACACACACACACACACACAGACACTCACACGCACGCTCACACCCAAAGTGTGTACAAGTGAGTTTAGTATGTCTTTGCTGGTACTATATAAGACTATCAAAACCAACCAAGATTGGAGAGAGGACAATCTATATGAGCCCAACACCATATAAATGCGTCTTCTTAAGAAACTAGGAGCCAAGATCTTACAGGAGATTGAACTGCTGTAGTCACGATTCGATGAATGGATTGGCAAGAAAAACACACGAGAAATGGAGTGGAGTTTGATCAATTGCGCTTAAGCTTGTAGCGAGCTTGGATCATAGGTTGTGTGACAAGAGACGTACTTATATACCATGCCAGGGGGAGACAAAGAAGGGACACCACTACGCTATAAACCAGCTTATTAGCAAAAGTTTCTAGCATAGAAAAGAGAGAGAGACAGAGAAACTATAGCATTTCTAGTGATTTGGTGCAATTCTCCCCCAAATTTTGAGGAAGTGGGGCTGTAAATTAATACGCGATCGCGATCGGTACAGATTCTTCAAACCGTGATATCACACCGGTACAAAAGCTTTGCCAGTGGGAATCGCATATTATGTTTGCTAGTACTGAATTTACATTAGAGATCCATATATTATGGAGAGAATTTTTTGCCAGCAACATATATAACACTGGGCTCATAACTTGGCTGGATCACCTCGTGGCTTTCGGAGGGACAGAGATTCTTTGCACCGACAATCAAATAGATCCCCCAAATCGTTGTCCTGCAATGGTGGAGCTTTGGTTGGTTCTCGCGGCTCTTGGCTTCAAATGCTGAAAGTTCTAAAAACACAGTCCTTGGTGGTTGTACGGATAGGAGTCTTCGTGCCACAAATCCTTTATCAATTATTTATTGGCATATCGCACCACCAGTTAGCTATAAAGGTAAATGTTTCAAGCTTCTATAATTTGGAAATGGCATGATTTCTTCAGAGATGCCAGCAGAAAATTAAACAGTGGTTTAGAAAGAACATGAAAAAAGAAAGTCAGCCAGCCCAACGATGCACACAACAAAAATCAAAACGAATACAAAAAAGATCAGTCAAACAAAGAAAAAAAAAGGTTTGAAAGTCAAGTTAGCAGTCAGCTCCGAGAACAAGGAAAAAGGGGGAAGCTTGATCTCTGAGCTAGAGTATCAGAGCCAGGTTTCGATCCTGGGACCTGTGGGTTATGGGCCCACCACGCTTCCGCTGCGCCACTCTGATAACGCAATGAAAAAATTTGCAAACGATATCTTCACATTCTGCAAAATTGACAAAGAAGATCCTTGGACGAACAGTTTTTAAGCTCCGCCGGATTGCCTCTTGGACTCCGCCGCCGCTCCGCTGTTTCGGAAGTAGCGGTACACTTGCTGCATGATTCAAAGAAGAACTCACGAGCGATTTAATCAGGATCAAACTTGCTTTTTTTTTTTCGGTTTTACCTGGAGTACCCAGATGCACAGCAACGTTTCCACGCAGAAGAGAGCAAAGCCGACGAGATAGAGGATCTGGAACATGAAGGTATCAATCAGCGAGTTGGCAAGAGAAAGAGTTTGCGTTTCCAAGGAACAGATTTTTTACCCCGACTCCAACCGTGTTGCTAAACACTTGCAGCGCTGGCAAGATACCCCTGTAAAAACGAGTCATTCGTGAATCAACGGGATAACCGGACAGTGATAACTCACGCAAGGGACTTCCCCTTGAAGACGATAGGGGGTCCAATTGACGCGACGATGCAAAAGCAAATGTGGACCTGTAGAGCTGGGTCTTAGCACTCATATCTTTCGAAAGAAACTTTGATATGGAAATCGTTGTGTACCAGATAGCAGAGGAAGAACCATCCAAACCGCAGGCCACTGTCGCTCCTGGAAAAGCAAACGAGCTGAAGAAACGTCCCGTGAGAGTGACACACAATACCTCATTGCATTGTACAGAGGTCGATACCACAGTCCATACGATCCGGGAATTCCAGCTAGCATGTAAATGATCGCGAGGAACCAGATTTGGACACCTGCGGCTCCTTGACTTTAGCACAGCAAGAAAGAAACAACCGATGATAACAGCAAGATTGTGATATACCGTAGGAGGAGCTGACGGTTTTGTGAGCCCAAGCTCCCGAGACAGCGATGAAATTCCACGCGAGGCACAACACGAAGCCTGTACGAGCGAGAGAGAGAGAGAGAGAGAGAGAGAGAGAGAGAGAGAGAGAAGGTTCGTAAAGCACAGGCTTTCGAAAGAAGCAAAAACAAAAACGAACCGAGCCAGCTCGCGAAAGCCATGTACTGTAGGCGTTGAAGATGCAATGGAATGTCGCGACGAATGTCATGGCGGATGATCGGGAAAAAGGGAGGCCAGTTCTTCTCCTCTAGAAAGATTCCAGCTGCATAAACTTGTTTATCATCCAAGACATAATAAATCTGGACAGCTTACCTCGCGCAGCTTGTGCTTCCAGCTTTCGCAGCTCCTGAAACAAAGTAAGCATTTCTCTTTAAGGAGGGAAGAAAAAAATTTCCAACAGAGGACTACTTACTTGCTCACGCCTGGTCAGCTGTTCTTCCTTCTCTTTGAGCTCCCGTTCTTTCTTCCGGATCGACTCCTGCCATGACGACACACGGCCAAAGCTCGAATCTTTTGCACGTAGGGCGGCTTACCGGGCGATCGGAAAGAGGTATTTCGTCGGTCGCGTCACGAGAAGAAGTAAATCTCTCCGCGGCGAGCGTCGGCAGCCTGGGGCCAGCCTGCTGGAACGAAAAACACAGGGATTTCAGCAAAAAGAACACAATGCCAGTCAAATCCGTGACATGCAGCGCCGGAGTGGCCGCAAGATCGCGGCGGCGAAGGCTAAGAAGCAAAAGAAGAGCTCGAAAGATCCCGAGCGAAGCTCGAGCGCGCGCGACACTCACCCCGAACGCAAAGGGATTGGCGCCTCCTCCATCGTCGTCCTCAAAGGGATTCTTGTCGACGCCAGGCATCTTTCCGCGGCGAGCTGCTCAAACCCTATCGAGCGTCGCCGCCAAAACAATGTATGAAAGAGAGACTCTTTGGAAGCACATTCTCAGCGAGATCCTTATTAGTGCGTAACAGGGATTAGCGCGTAATTAGGGCTCTTCCCGCGCGGGTTCAAATCTTTACTTTTTTTAACACCAAAGTCAGTCAAACCGGTGAAAATCACTAAATTGGCATTCTTATCAACGACCGGGCATTTGGTCTAGTGGTATGATTCTCGCTTTGGGTGCGAGAGGTCGCGAGTTCGATTCTCGCAATGCCCCTCAATTCTTAGTCATATTTTTAATTTTTTAAATTATTATTCATGTTTTTTAAAATTTTGTCTAGAAAGTTATTTGTAGAATCATCTTTCAAGCAAGACACAATCTTTTAGCTGCATGAGAATCCTCCAGGAACGTTGAGAGCGCAAGTGTTAACATAAGCATCAAAGTCGGACAAGCTGAGAGTTCCCTGGAGGAGGCTACAGAAGCAATCCAGGCTGAGCTCCTTGACCCTCGCGCAACACGCAGCGCTAGGTGAATTCATCAGCGTCCCGGCGCTAATGCACGGCGACACCTTGTCCTGGATCTTTGCTCGGTCCTCGCATTCGCCCACCACACCTTTCACCACCACCAAGAGCATCAAAGCCGTCACCAAAACCAAGAGCGAGAAGCTCTTCCCAGCGATCGCCATCTTCTTCTCTCTCGCTCTCTCTCTCTCTCTCTCGATGATCTCGATCCCTACAACACCATCACAATCTCCAGGAGGGAGGATGAGCAGACTTATCTTCACAAGAAACCCGCGGGGGCATGCGCGTTTCTCGTGGAGCTTGAGACTAGATACACAAGGATCGTCGACAAGTTCAGTGATCTCTCTAATCAATCACTGTTTACTTGGAGTTCATTTGCGGACGGGGAGATTGCTTTGGATCCAAGCACCGTAGCCGCCACCCATGTCCGTGACTCCAGTGAATCCCTGCCATGATCCATACGTAAGCCTCCCTTGAAAACAACTAGAAGAGAAAAAACAAAGAGAAACGACAAGCTCATTAAGGCTGAAGGAGATACCGAAGCAAGAAGTTCCGTGGCCGCAGCCATTGATCTTCGACCACTCTGGCAACCCTGTCAAAGAACACGAAACAGAGAGTTTGCATTGGTACCAAACTTTGTCTTCGCAAAATCATACCACTACTATCTCGTCGTCTTTGTTGAATCGTGCTGACACTTCTGGGACAAAGTCTAAGTTGGTGATCATGCCTACAGAGAAGAGGCTGTGAGTGAGCGAGCACTGCGAAAAAAGAGAGAGCTCTACTATACCCGTTCCAAATTTGTACATGAATGGAATATTGACAGCGCCCTCGACATGGCCGGCAGCGAACTCTTCCGGAGTTCTGGGAGATCATAAAATGATAGATCATGAGGAAGAACTAGGACGATTGATCAAAGTAGATCATACCTGACGTCGAGGTAATGGTGCCCAGCTTTGAGAAGATCATGAGCGACTTGCACAGGAACGCTGCTCACGGCCGATTCGGTGCTGCTGCTCCTAAGCGCTCGAAATCTTGCAAAAGAAAGAAGAACATGAGCTTCTCAAGCGGGCGTGACCAATTTACCGATTTACCTGTTCTGCCAAGAAGACATGCTCGATGATGATCCGTAAGCGCTGCGCACGGTCACTACTGGCATGCGATTGCTCGCCGCTCTGCCGCTGCTGGAGCATTCCAGAGAGAGATCGCGTCCTCTTAAAGATCCTCCGAGGGATGCCGACGGAAACCCTGAAAGCGATGATCTTGATCCACCGCCGCATGCGAGCCAAGAGCAAGAGGACGATCGAACAGTAGCCAGCGCCATGATTCTACCAAGAAAATTTCGAGGATCGAGCGATCGGCGCCAAAAAAGATGTTTGATTCAAAAATCTGGATGAAATAAGAGAGCTCAACTAACGGTGTTGCCCTGCCCCCTACTTGTTCTTTCGGGGCATCCGGGTATTTGTTTTTGCCACCGGCTGGAGCCGGTTACATGTGGATAAGGCTTTCCGCTTTTACGGGCTGCGGCCAGTCGCTCACTGATTGCGACCGGTTCTGGAGGGAACGTGAGCTAGTAAGCATGTTTCCGGATCAGAATGTCCAGCTCGTGGACTGGACTTTCCAGCTCATGGAGCCGCCGCCAGTGGATCCAAGCGATCCAATCGTGCAAAACGTTGTCCGAGGCGGCGAGGATCCACTCGCTGGCGGAGAAGATCTTTGCCAGCGACGACGCCCTGATCGTCACGAAGCTCATCGAGATGCATGGCAAATGCGGGAGCGTGAGGAAGGCCCGGGCGATTTTCGACGCCATGCCGGGCTCTCGCAGGGATTCCTTCGCGTGGGTCGCGATGCAGTGCGTGTACGCGCGCAACGGCGAGTTGGACGAGGCCAGGGCGCTGTTTGATGCGATGCCGGAGAGGGATCTTGCAGCATGGAATGCCATGCTTTCAGCATTTGCCCGTCTGGGGCATTTTGAAGACGCGAAGAAGCTCTTCAGGATCATGCCAGAGAAAAATTTGATATCGTGGAGCGTGATGCTCGATGCGTTCTCCAAAGAGGGCGATTTGGATCGAGCTCTAGAGGTGTTCTTTTCAATGCCGCAGCACGATTTGGTCGCGTTTAACACGATTGTCGCGGCATTTGCCCAAAAGGGGGAAATTGATCGGGCTAGAAAGATCCTAGAATCAATGCCCGAGCACGACATAGTGACGTGGACGTCACTGCTGGCGGCGCACGGGAACCACGGTGACGTGGAGGCTGCCAAAGAAGTCTTTGACGGCATGCATTACAGAAGCCTTGTGACGTGGAATGCCCTGATGGCAGCATATGCCCAGAACGGGCATTTGGAATCTCTTGATTCGTTTTTCACGGCAATGCCAGAGCGGGATTTAATCTCCTGGAACACTCTACTCTCGGCTTTTGCTCACGGAGGGAATCTAAAAGGCGCTCTTGAAATATCCCAAGCGATGCCACTGAAGAACATAGTCTCCTGGACTTTGCTGCTAGCAGCATATGCCGAGAATGGGAAATTTTCCAAAGCTCGCAGATGCTTTGAGGATATGCCCCAGAGAGACCTGGTTTCATGGACGTGTATGCTCGTGGCATATGCCCAGAGCGGGTATCTCGCAGATGCCCAGCGAATGTTTGAGAGTATGCCACGCCACAATCACGTTGCGTGCAGTGCGATGCTGGTGGCATATGCCCAAAACGGGCAGCTCGAAACAGCGAAAGTCATGCTAGACCGAATGAGAGAGAGGGATTTTTTCTCGTGGAACGCAATGCTGGCAGCATATGCCCAGGCGGGGCATGTCGACCATGCAAAGGAAATGTACGACAATGTGCCGTACCACACCCTAGCTTCGTGGAATTCTATGCTGTGTGCGTACGCATTAAATGGTTACGTACAACAGGCTCTTTGTGTTTTTGAGAATTCTCGAGAAAAAGATTTGGCAACGTGGAATGCACTGCTTGCTGCATATGCCAGAAACGGGCACCTGGATTTTGTTGACAGACTGTTTGTGAAGATGCCGGAAAAGGACTTGGTTTCTTGGGGAACGCTCCTGAATTGCTACGCTGAGAAGGGATACTACAACGATGCGTGTCAAATCTTTGATGAGTTGAGGGCTATCTACACTGCGGACGAGGGGTGCTTCACTTCGATTCTTATTGCTTGCAGCCGAGCCGGGAAGCTCTATGCTGCTCGATCCTTGAGCTTGAGCATGGTGGGCGATTACAAGCTCAAGCCCTCCAAGCAGCACTTTTGCTGCCTGGTGGATTTGCTGGGCCGATCGGGGCACGTTTTAGACGCTGTGGATCTTGTCAATAACATGCCTTATGAGCCTGATGTTCTAGAATGGACATGCTTGCTTAGCTCTAGTTCTAGTAGCTCATCACTTGGAGTTCAGGCAGCAAAGAGAGTTTTCGACAAGGATCAAGGAGAAGGCCATGCCTTTGTGTTGCTTGCATCGAATCTAGAACAAACTAGACTTGTTTCACAGTCAGATCTTGATCCACACCTTAGCTTGCGCGCTTAGACCATTGTTTCATCGTGTGGGCAGCACACTTCTCCATCGAGGTTTCTTGCGAACTTGTTGAGATCGAACAATTCGCCTTCGAATTGTGACATACGAGGTCGCCCGAGATTGGGTCGATTCTTGGGATGCAACGAGCAGCCATGAAGCTGGAGTCGAGCATCTTGCGGTTGTATTGCTTGCAGCTCGTAATCATGGTGGCAAATTCGTCCACATAGCCGATAATGCTGCAAGTCTCAAGCCAGCCGCCGCAAGGCTCTTGACAAATGTCATAGAAACAACGCAAATGAGAAGCAAACCCCCCCCCCCCCCCCCCCCCAAGAGAAACAAGAAATTGTGCCAATAAATAGAGAAAGAAAAAGAAAGAAGCCCCCGAATCTTCGTTTCAATTACTAGAGTCGACCGTGGATAATTGAAAACAACGTAGGAAAGAAGAAAAAGAAAAAAGAGAGAGAGAAACAAAAGAAAAAGCTTCGTCCGTGGACCATTGAAAACAACGTAAACAATGGACGTATGTGATATAATGCATGACAATTTGGACATATGTGATGGTATAATATATGCATGCATGACAGGCGGCAATCGTGAGAGCGATTCGTTACTTGCCAGGTTATTGAGATCATCACTGCAACAATGGGGATCAGTGATGGATTTTATATTATCGACACTGATTTTTTTGGAGGTGAGGGGTATCGATCCCCTTACCTATCGCATGCAAAGCGATCGCTCTACCATCTGAGCTACACCCCCTTAACACACTGATACATTATAAATGTGGCACAGATTATCTGGAAGTCGCGAAACTGTGCTCCAATAACATGCAAAGCCGCAATAGCCAAGAAACTCGATCAAAACCCATAAATCATCCAGCCTTTTCAAGAGCAAAGCTTGCGAGGACGCCTCCTTTAAGAAGCGTAAATAGAGCCTCACGTTAGATTATCTGTTCTTCTTTCTTTTTTCTCGGTCAACTTTCGGGAGGAAGTAATCTTCATTTGAGCTGGACTTCTGTAGCTCTTGAATGATCAATCAGTGGGACTTGCTGTAAGCTCGTCAAGCAATGTCAAACACAGAATAATCCATGAAGAAATATCAACTACTATGGATAATGAAAGTTTGCACTGCTTGAGATCGAATTTAGAACAAACTAGAGTCTTGGTTCATAGTTATACAACTTAGCTTGTGCGCTTAGACCAGTGTTTCATTGTGTGAGCAGCACACAAGCCGTCCATCGAGATTGCTTGCGAGCTTGTTGAGATCGAACTCTTCGCCCTTCGAATTGCTGCAAATGAGATCCTTCGAGTTTGGATACACTCCATGATCTTTGGGTTGCAAAGAACAGCCATGAAGGTGAACCGTGTTTGGTGCCGTTGTATTGCTTGCAGCTCGCGGTAATGGTGGCAAATTCGTCCTCATAATGGATAATGCTGCAAGTGTCAAGCCAGCGGCCGCAAGGCTCTTGACAAAATGTCACAGAAACACCGCAAGTTAGAAGCAAACCCAAGAGATGTAAAAGAGATTATGCCATCACTAAAAAAAACTTAAGAGAGAAAAACTTGCACTTCATGGATACTAATTTTTATTTATATCACCAGAGTTGAAAACAACGTAGGAAAAGTAAACAAAGGTATCGATTTAGATGATTATTTATAATGAAAGGCGGGATCTTCTCGAGGCAATTCAATCATGCTCGAGCCTCTTGGAAGCCCAAAAGCTACACTCGATAGCCAAACGAGTTTTGAGTTCGAGGGATACCTTTGCCATAAACAAACTTGTTGAAATGTATGGCAAGTGTGGGGGAATACAACACGCTAGAATAGTTTTTGATAGCATGAATGAGAAAGACGCATATTCCTGGGTAATTATGCTGTGTGTATATTCCCAAAACGGGCATCTGCAGGATGCTAAGTTCCTGTTTGACATAATGCCACAATGGGAAACAGTGTCGTGGAATGCCATGCTCGCAGCATATGCCCAAACTGGGTATATTGACCAGGCCAAGGTGCTCTTTGACTCAATGCCGGAAAGAAGTTTGGTGACATGGAACTCAATGCTTGCAGCATATTCGCAAACCGAGAATCTGGACGACGCTTGGAATATCTTTGCATCTATGCCTCTACGGGATCTAGTGTCATACAATTCGGTGGTTTTAGCATTCGCCCAAAATGGAGATTTTGCAAGAGCGAATGAGTTTCTCCGCTTGATGCCAGAACACACTCTTGTTGCATGGACGACAATGGTGGCTGCGCTTGGGCGGCACTGCGAATTGGAATGGGCAAAGCAAATGTTTGATTCCATGCCTCTGCAGAACATAGTGACATGGAATGTGATTCTGGGAGCATATGCTGATAACGACCATCTAGAGGAGGCAAAGATTGTGTTTGAGGCAATGCCGGAGTGGGATCTTGTCTCATGGACTAGCATGTTTTCTGCTTTAGTTCGCGGGGGCAATTTGGGTCAAGCCAAGCTAGTTCTCCGGTCAATGCCAGTAGTCAACTCGTTGACATTGACCACTGTTCTGGCGGCGCACGTCAACGCCGGTCAACTCGCGGAGGCTGTGCAGGTCTTTGAGTCAATGCCCGAGAGGGACATGGTTGCGTGGACGGCCATGCTGGTTGGATATGCCCAATCGGGGGATACGAGACTCGCAAGGAATATGCTTGAAAAGATGCCAAGATGGAATGTGGTAGCGTGCAGTGCCATGGTTTTAGCATATATTCAGCACGGCGACGTAGAAAACGCGCAAATAATTTTATCTGAGATGCCCTTTCTTGATAGCATTTCGTGGAATTCAATGCTCTCAGTATATGCCCAAGGAAGGGATCTTGAACATACCATATACGTGTTTGATAGCCAACCTGTCAAGCCAGTAGCGTCCTATAACCTAATTCTCTCATCGTTTTCGCAAAATGGTTTTACAGAAATGGCTGTGAGATTGTTTCATTCAATGCAGGAAAGGAATCTCGTGTCCTGGAATGCAATGCTTGCGGCGTATGCCCACATCGGGTATCTTGATCGATGCTGGAATCTCTTCGAGGCACTTCCAGAGAGAGACACTGTCTCGTGGGGCACAATTTTAGCTGCAATTGCGGAGAAAGGTGATTCGAAAGACGCATTCAAGATTTTTAGCAGCATGAATCTGATCGGCACAACAGCTGATGAAGCTTGTTTTGTATCACTTCTCGTGGCCTGTAGCCGTGGAGGCAAGCTCTACGCGGCCAAAACGTACTTGGCTTCCATGATCCTCGACTTTGGACTGAAGCCCTTGAAGCAGCACTACTGCTGTGTGATAAACTTGCTGGCCAAAGCTGGGCACCTTGACAGTGCTGCGAATCTTATCAATGAGATGCCTTTTGTGCCAGATGCCCTAGAGTGGACGTGCTTGCTCTCAGGAACTTACAGTGGTGGTAGAATTTTGGGGACCAATGCCGCAAAGAAGGTTGCGAGTCATTTAAATGGCCACTTTTTCCCGCCAGAACTTATTTGCCCTAGCTAGGGCTCATGAAGCATGGCGCCAGTGAAAATCCGGAGCAGCAGGCGATCCAGGAAGAAAGCGCTCGTCTCCGCAATGCCGCGATCTCCCGCGGCCTTCTCGGCCGCTCTGCGGCATCGCCGCCGCAGCTGTTGCTCCCATCCAAAGGTAGGCACCATATTCGCCGAGACAGACAACAATCGATTTTCTTGGGAATTTCTAGAGCTTTTGAAGTGCGATGGCAAAGACATCGTGAAGAAGGGGACCAGGAAGAGCAAGTTCTTGTTCTCGTTTCCCGGGCTTGTGGCTCCTGTCGCTGGTGGAAAATTTGGGGATCTTGCTCATCTAGACACGAAGAATCCCATTCTTTATGTCGATTTTCCAAAGGTGCGGTATTGTTTGAGAGAGGAGAGAACGATGAAAAATATCTCTGGCTGGATTCCAGGGGCGCATCAAGCTTTTCGGTACCATTGTCTATCCCAAGAACAAGTATCTTACCTTGCAGCTAACGAAGGGATCAAAAAGTGTTATTTGCGACGATGTGATAGAATCACTGGTAAGCAAAACATAATTTTTTTCAGGAAAGCAGCTTGAGGCTGACCGGTCTGCTAATTTCAGGTGGTTTTCTCCGAGTCCTGGTGGATTGGAACGAAAGAAGAAAATCCCGAAGAGAAAAAACTAGACATGCCGAAAGATCTTTGCGAGGTATTTTGTATAATTCCTAAGGAACTCTATGGATTCGGTTGTCTTACAGGAGAAGCACACGAACTATAGCTTCACGGCTGGTGCTGGATCCGATTCTAAAACAACCACACAAGCGCAAAAGCTAGCAGCTAGTGTCAGCACTTGTACCTTAAAGCAGAGCACTTTAACGGGCTTCCAATCGCCTAGCTTGCCTGAAGAACCGATTCGTCAATCTGTGCGTACTTCTGGCCAGAAACGAAGGTAAGACAACTTGAGTTTATATCCCTCTTGACAATGATTTTCCTGCTACCATTCCAGCTATTCGGAAATTGATATCTCTGACGATGAGATCGACGAAGCTGACACACCGAAAGCGGCCAGCACTTCAAAGTCTGAAGCCTGTCCAGAGAGGAAAGCTGGGAAAAAGGCCACGATTCTAGACTTTATGGTACGCAAGCCAGCGCTGTAGAGAGACAATTCACGCTTTGGAAAACAAGAACCAAGGTATGGAATTTCGGACGGAGTGTTTTTCTTGTTTTCTTTGCAGGCACTACACTCTTAGCGTCCCAAACTAAACTCCCAACTTGGAAGATGATTTGGAATAGCTGGTTTTATTCACTGATAGCAGCATACAGTGGTGCCAGCTATGTTACTTGCCAGGTTAAAGAGATCATACTTGCAACGACCAGGAAGGCATTTTATGAATAAGGAGCTTCGATTCACGCAAATCGCCATTCTTTGTCTTGCATTTTGCTGTGAGACTTATCAATTTCAAGCTTCGCATGAAAGTAGCCACCGCAAGCATTGGTAATTACGCAAAAGCAAATTCGAGATGGACTTTTTCTAGTCTCTACTGATGTCTAATAAATAGACTTTTGGAGGTGAGGGGCATCGATCCCCTTACCTATCGCATGCGAAGCGATCGCTCTACCATCTGAGCTACACCCCCTTAATATCACACTAATAAATTTCTAAGAAGAGTATATAGACAAGTCCAAAATACCTTTGTTCCAAACGATCACTTCTGGATCGATGGATGTTTGTTTTTCTTTTCTTTTGCTTCAGGTGCAAGCAATATAATGGCAGCAAAAAACATGTCTCCACTTGTTGCAATTGCGAAGAGTTCGATCTCAAAGCAATCTCAATGGAGGCCTTGTGTGCTGCTCACATGATGAAATACTGGTTTAACCGCACAAGCTAAATGGGCCTATCAGTCTTGTTGCTCTAGATTTGACGCAAGCAACATGAAGCCATGGCCTTTTCCTTGAACGAAATTATCATCAAGAGAAGTTGATATTTCTTTCCTTTGGTTTCTCTCTTCATGGCTTTTTCTGCTACAAAACTCCGCTTCAAATATGACGCATCTCTCTTTTCTTTATTCTTCCTTTGGAACTGTGTGATAAACTTGCTGGCCAAAGCTGGGCATTTGAATGTGCTGCAAATCTTATCAATGGTCGTATGCTTTGGACCTGGTAGAATTTTGGGGACGAGAGTCATTTAAACGGCATTTTTCCTGCCAGAACTCATTAGCTATGAATGGCGCCAGAGAAAATCCAGAGCAGCGGGCGATCCAGGAAGAAAGCGCTCGTCTCCGAAATGCCGCAATCTCCCGCGGAATTCTCAGCCCTTTCGTGGCATCGCACCGCAGCTGTTGCTATATTTTAGAGATAGGATTCGATTTTCTATGGAATTTCCAGATGTCATGGCGAAGACATCGTGAAGAAGGGGACCAGGAAGATCAAGTTCCTGTTCTCGTTTCCCAGGCTTGTGGCTCCTGTATTCTTATGCCGATTTTCCAAATGTGTGTGAGGAGGAAAGGATGAAAAATTATTTTCTACCTTGCAGGTGTTATTTGCGATGATGGAATCACTGGTAAAAACAGTTCTTCCCGAGGAAAAGTTGCCAGCAGCTTGAGGCTGACCGGTCTACTGATTTCAGGTTGTTTTCTCCGAGTCCTGGTGGACTGGAACAAAGAGAAAAAACTGAACACGCCTAAAGATCTTTGCGAGGTACTTCGTAAAATACCCTACAGACTGGATCGTCTTGTAGGAGGGGAACACAAACTATAGCTTTATGGCTGGTGCTGAATCGGATTCTAAAACACCCACACATATGCAAAAGCTAGCAGCTGCTGTCATCACTTCTACAGCACTCTAGCTTGCTTGAAGAACTGCCAAAGTATATTTATTTCTAATAAACACTATAAACCTGGTGCGTACTGTTGTGAGGGAATCTTGCAATTGCCCCACACTCAAAATCTCATTAGAGAACTCTATCTCTCACTGAAAATGTCACAAAAAAATGTGTGATCAAATCTCATATTTGCGAATATCTCTGGCATCATTCCAACAGGTGACCACAGTAAGATTGTGCAAATGGCTAAGTCTATCAATAGAAGAGAAAATGAAAAAAAAAATTGTAAAACAAATGTATGGACTTTGAAGGAAAAAAAAAAGGAAATTATTGATTGGTTGACTGATTATTATTACACTAATAATATTAACAAGTATTAAGATCATTATGCATTATCTCCTTAATGACCTTTGTCGTTGACAAAGAGTGCAAACTTAATAAAATAATTATTGCTTAGTGGTTTCAATAATTTGGTATTTCAGTTAAGAATATTAACCTATAGTGGTAGTTCTACCTTTTAACTTTTATTCACACTAATAAGAAGAACCCTATGAAAGCAATAAAAATATCCTTATGTATTAAGTATATTTCTATAAATATATTCTAGAATATTAGAGGTTATAAAATTTATAGTGACATTCTCTATTGCATGTCAAATATCATTTATTTATAAATATTTGAATGTTAAGTGTCATTAGCCTCTCAAACTATTTATGTCATGACATTCGATTCAATGCCAAATTATTCCTTACATTTTACTTTCACCGCATGAAAAGTTGACCAAGACAACTCTGACACAGGGTGTTAGCTATCTTAATGGAGGTTAGTCAGAGAATCCTGGATTTCTCTGTTCATCGCATGGAAAAATTTTCTCTTGATAAGGCTCGGTGATTTTCCTACTCCAGGCTAAGACGATGGCTGTTGCGGCTTTGCCTGTTGCTGGATCACAGTTTTGTGACTTCCAGGCCGTAGATCTCACTCTTTCCAGCTCGGGAGTCTTCAGCTGTGGGAAGTATACAGTCCGGGATGCAGAACAAAACCAAGTTTTTGCAGTGGATGGGAAATTTGGCTGCGGTCGCCAGCGGAGAGTTATGGATTCCAGTGGAAAGCTTCTTCTTGTGCTCCAGAAAGAGGTGCTTGAAACGCATCTTTCTTTTCCTTTCGAATTCTCAGAAAACCGTTAGGCAGGCATGTAGTCTCCAGAACAAGTGGAAGGTTTATCTCGACGAAGACAAGCTCCTCTTTACAACGAAGCGGCCTTTCTTCTTCCGGCTAGAGTTATGCGTGGATGTGTACCTCGGGGAGAGCACCACGCCCGATTTCAAGCTCACTGGAAGCGTCTTCACCGGGAAATACTGCTTACACAGGACTGATACTGGAGAGCTGATTGCAAAGGTATGTCTCTCTTTTCTTCTTCTCGAAGAGACTTTGAGTTTGATGAACAGGCAAGGTCCAAGAGGAATCTGGCATGCGGTGCGAGCTACAGCATAGAAATTGAGCCTGGAGTGGACTCGCTATTTGTGGTTCCAATGATTTTAACCATAGTGGGACGTCAATTTTCTGGCTTCATTCCATAGTTGAGTTCATTAAATCCAACTTTATGCAAGTTCATCATTACATAATATCGCGAAATCTTGAAACGGGAAAATTTCACTTCTAAACAGTTTCTTCCAGGCAGCTATGGCGGGCATTGGTTAGTGGTTTCTATCGACATTCTTGCCCGATTGCTTGTTGAAGCTATAGTGGCCCATGGTGATCAACTCCCCTGCTGGGGTGATCCTCACTCATCCTCGGACATGGAGCGTTCGAGGTACCCATCGATTAGGCTTAGTGCCCAGCGTATCGCAAATAGCCCCAATCGCGCGCACTCCTCCAGCTTTGTTTGGGGATGCGGTGCTTACACAGTTCCACAGTTGCGGTATTTTGCGTACTGATAATGGAAGAGCTATGTACTGCCGTTAAGTTGTACTCCATTTTTCGGCTTTAGCCGCGATTTATACTACAGTGTTTATCTTTACGACACGGGAAAAAAAAACACGAAATTATCCCTTTGGTTGTGTTTTGTTTGGTCCCACTCATTGATTAGCCGTTCCCACCAAGAGTTAAAACGCGTCTTAGAGGAGATTAGTCAGAGCATCCTGGATTTCTGTGTCCTCGCAAGCGTGAAGAGCTTTGCTCTTGAAAAGGCTTGGTGATTTTAAACCTCCAGGCTAAGGCTATGGGTTTCGATCAAGATGCTGCCAAGGTTGTTGCAGCTTTGCCTGTTGTTGGAGCACAGTTTTGCGACTTCCAGGCTGTGGATCTTACTCTCTCCAGCTCGGGAGTCTTCAGCTGTGGGAAGTATACTGTCCGGGATGCAAAACAAAACCAAGTTTTTGCAGTGGATGGAAACTTTGGATGCGGTCGCCAGCGGAGAGTTATGGATTCCAGTGGAAAGGTTATTCTCGTGCTCCACAAAGAGGTACTAAACCAACTCTCTTTTCTCTAAATAGTAACCCGTTTGGCAGGCATTCAGTTTCCAGAACAAGTGGAAGGCCTATCTCGTCGAAGACAAGCTTCTCTTCACAGCGAAGAAGCCTTGCTTCCGGCTAAAGTTCTGCGTGGACGTGTACCTCGGGAAGAGCACCACGCCCGATTTCAAGCTCACTGGATGCGACTTCACCGGGAAGTACAGCTTACGCAGGACTGATACTGGACAGCTGATTGCAAAGGTATGTCTCTCTGTTCTTCTGCGAAGAAGAGATTTTGAGATTGATCCACAGGCAAGGTACAAGAGAAAACTGGCAAGCATTGCGGGACGCCACAGCTACAGCATAGAGATTGAACCTGGAGTGGACTCGTTGTTTGTGGTTTCGATGTTTCTAGTCATGAACGAGATTTACCTTGACAAACAAAGAGTTTAAGTTTATATTCGTGAGTGTTTAATTGACCTTCATGGTTATAATATATTGGTACAATAATGTCTCCTTCAATTGGCCCACCATGCTCAAAAGAAGTGTCTAAGTGAAGTTCATATTTGATAGGCATTATTCATATAGCAAGTTATATATAATGCTAAGCATAAATATGGAATGGAAAATATTGAGTAAAATCTCTCATGTTTATCCGCACGGCCATCTTGCACATGTATATGCAATAATTTCCAATCGCTAGATTGGAAAAGTATATTCTAGCAAGTAGGAACTCTTTGGAGCTTAGGAAGATTAAACATCACATGTTGGAAATAAATTTAATAGAAAATGTAGGAGGGATTGAAAAGTTATTCACCCTTGGGTGATTTTTGGAAGGGATGACGATCAACTGTAGATCTTCTGTGGCTGCCAAAGCAAAGAATGCCTTGGCAACTATCAGCTCTAGGTCCATACAAGAATCTGCTCTTGAGATACATGAGAAATTTTTAGTTCATATAGCTATTAAAGATGCATATAATAGAATGATAAACTTGAGATCAAAAGATGATAGTGCCATTAATGATATAGAAAAAGCAATTGCTAAAGTAGGCTAATATGATGAAAGTAATTTCTTTTTGCTCACAAAATAATCTACCCCTTCAACAAATGCCTGATTAAGGTAGGCACCATATTCACCGAGACAGACAACAATCGATTTTCTTGGGAATTTCCAGAGCTTTTGAAGTGCGATGGCAAAGACATCGTGAAGAAGGGGACCAGGAAGAGCAAGTTTCTTGTTCTCGTTTTTCGGGCTTGTGGCTCCTGTCGCTGGTGGGAAATTTGGGGATCTTGCTCATCTAGACACGAAGAATCCCATTCTTTATGTCGATTTTCCAAAGGTGCGGTATTGTTTGAGAGAGGAGAGAACGATGAAAAATATCTCTGGCTGGATTCCAGGGGCGCATCAAGCTTTTCGGTACCATTGTCTATCCCAAGAACAAGTATCTTTCCCTTGGAGCTAACGAAGGGATCAAAAAGTGTTATTTGCGACGATGTGATAGAATCACTGGTAAGCAAAACATAATTCTTTTCAGGAAAGCAGCTTGAGACTGACCGGTCTGCTAATTTCAGGTGGTTTTCTCCGAGTCCTGGTGGATTGGAAGGAAAGAAGAAAATCCCGAAAGAGAAAACTAGACATGCCGAAAGATCTTTGCGAGGTATTTTGTAAAATTCCTAAGGAACTCTATGGATTCGGTTGTCTTACAGGAGAAGCACACGAACTATAGCTTCACGGCTGGTGCTGGATCCGATTCTAAAACAACCACACAAGCGCAAAAGCTAGCAGCTAGTGTCAGCACTTGTACCTTAAAGCAGAGCACTTTAACGGGCTTCCAGTCGCCTAGCTTGCCTGAAGAACCGATTCGTCAATCTGTGCGTACTTCTGGCCAGAAACGAAGGTAAGACAACTTGAGTTTATATCCCTGACAATGATTTTCCTGCTACCGTTCCAGCTATTCGGAAATTGATATCTCTGACGATGAGATCGACGAAGCTGACACACCGAAAGCGGCCAGCACTTCAAAGTCTGAAGCCTGTCCAGAGAGGAAAGCTGGGAAAAAGGCCACGATTCTAGACTTTATGGTACGCAAGCCAGCGCTGTAGAGAGACAATTCACGCTTTGGAAAACAAGAACCAAGGTATGGAATTTCGGACGGAGTGTTTTTATCATGCCTGCTTGTTTTCTTTGCAGGCACTACACTCTTAGCGTCCCAAACTAAACTCCCAACTTGGAAGATGATTTGGAATAGCTGGTTTTATTCACTGATAGCAGCATACAGTGGTGCCAGACTTGCCAGGTTAAAGAGATCATACTTGCAACGACCAGGAAGGCATTTTATGAATAAGGAGCTTCGATTCACACAAATCGCCATTTTTCTTTGAGACTTATCAATTTCAGCTTCGCATGAAAGTAGCCATCCACCGGAAGCATCGGTAATTACGCAAAAAAACAAATTCGAGATGTAGATAACTAACTATATACTGATGTCTAATAAATAAACTTTTGGAGGTGAAGGGCATCCGATCCCCTTACCTATCGCATGCGAAGCGATCGCTCTACCATCTGAGCTACACCCCCTTAATATCACACTAATAAATTTCTAAGAAGGTATATAGACAAGTCCAAATTACCTTTGTTCCAAACGATCACTTCTGGATCGATACACTCGGATGTTTGTTTTTCTTTTCTTTTGCTTCTACTATATGAGCTCCAAGTAATATAATGGCAGCAAAAAACATGTCTCCACTTGTTGCAATTGCGAAGAGTTCGATCTCAAAGCAATGTCAATGGAGGCTTTGTGTGCTGCTCACAGGATGAACTACTGATCTAACTGTGCAAGTTAAGTGGGCTATCAAGATACAAATCTTGTTTGCTCTAGATTTGATGCAAGCAACATGAAGTCATGGCCTTCTCCTTGAACGAAATTATCATCCAGAGAAGTTGATATTTCTTTCCTTTGGTTTCTCTCTTCATGGCTTTTTCTGTGTTTGACATTGTTTGTTGAATAGTACTTGATTAGATTTTCCCCATTCAAGAGCTACAAAACTCCGCTTAAAAAATGACGCATCTCATTCCTCCTTTAAAACTGTGTGATAAACTTGCTGGCCAAAGCTGGGCATCGCATCTTGAATGTGCTGCAAATCTTATCAATGGTCGTGTGCTTTGGACCTGGTAGAATTTTGGGGACGAAGGTCATGAGTCATTTAAATGGCATTTTTCCCGCCAAAACTCATTTAGTTAGGAATGGCGCCAGAGAAAGTCCAGAGCAGCAGGCGATCCAGAAAGAAAGCGCTTGTCTCCAAAATGCCCCAAACTCCCGCGGAATTGTCAGCCCCTTCGTGGCATCGCACCGCAGCTGTTGCTATATTTTCAAGACATCGTGAAGAGGAAGATCAAGTTCTTGTTCTCGTTTCCCAGGCTTGTGCTCCTGGTTTTTTATGCCGATTTTCCAAATGTGTGTGAGGAGGAAAGGATGAAAAATTATTTTGGTCGGATTTCAGGGGCTGTACCATTTTGTAAGTATCTTACCTTGCACGCCTAAAGATCTTTGCGAGGTACTTCGTAAAATACTCTACAGACTGGATCGTCTTGTAGGAGGGGAACACAAACTATAGCTTTATGGCTGGTGCTGAATCGGATTCTAAAACACCCACACATATGCAAAAGCTAGCAGCTGCTGTCATCACTTCTACAGCACTCTAGCTTGCTTGAAGAACTGCCAAAGTATATTTATTTCTAATAAAAACTATAAACCTGGTGCGTACTGTTGTGAGGGAATCTTGCAATTGCCACACACTCAAAATCTCATTAGAGAACTCTAGCTCTCACTGAAAATGTCACAAAAAAATGTGTGATCAAATCTCAATAATGAAGCAGAGTAAGCTTGGAATCATACCAACGAAGATTGCGCAAATGGCTAACTCTATAAATAGAGGACAAAGGAATTGAGAGAGAAAATGGAAAAGAAAATGTAAAACAAACAGGAATTTGAAAAAAAAAGGAAATTATTGATGGCATAGCTTGATTGGTTTACTGATTTATTATTACACTGATAATATTAACAAGTATTAAGATCATCTCTTTATGACCTTTGTCGAGTGCAAACTTAACAAAATAATTATTGATTAATGATTTCAATAATTTGGTCAAGTAAATATTTCAGTTAAAAAAATTAACCCATAGTGGTAGTTCTACCTTTTAACTTTTATCCACTACTACTACGCTACTGATTGAAAACTAAAAATATAAGACTGAAAAATTTTCATTAACATATAATATATTATGATCTTATGCTTCTAGTTAGGCTCCCAAAAACATGTTTTATTACCATGATAATAATATTTAATTATAAAGAAAATCATATGATAGTACTTAAATAACAAAAAAACAGATTAAATTAGTTAGTGGTTAATAAATAGTTGATCAGTTTTTACAAACTGAATGCCATTAACACAGGTAATACTGGACAAGGGGAATAAACATGGGAGATTTTACTGAAATATTCATGCTTAGCATTACATATAACTTGCTATTGGAATAATGCCTATCAAATATGAACTTCACTTAGACTCTTATTTTGAGCATGGTGGGCAACCAATTGAAGGAGACATTATTGTACCATCCGAGCTACGAATATATTATAACCATGAAGTTCTATTAAAACACTCATAAATATAAACTTAAACTCCATCACCACCACCACTTGGAGCTGGTTTGTCGAGTTAAATCTCGTTCATGACTAGAAACATCGAAACCACAAACAACGAGTCCACTCCAAGTTCAATCTCTATGCTGTAGCTGTGGCATCCCGCAATGCTTGCCAGTTTCCACTTGTACCTTGCCTGTGGATCAATCTCAAAATCTCTTCTTCGCAGAAGAACAGAGAGACATACCTTTGCAATCAGCTGTCCAGTATCAGTCCTGCGTAAGCTGTACTTCCCGGTGAAGTCGCATCCAGTGAGCTTGAAATCGGGCGTGGTGCTCTCCCCGAGGTACACATCCACGCATAACTCTAGCCGGAAGCAAGGCTTCTTCGCTGTGAAGAGAAACTTGTCTTCGTCGAGATAGGCCTTCCACTTGCTCTGGAAACTAAATGCCTGCCAAACGGGTTACTATTTAGAGAAAAGAGAGATGTTTTAGTACCTCTTTGTGGAGCACGAGAATAACCTTTCCACTGGAATCCATAACTCTCCGCTGGCGACCGCATCCAAAGTTTCCATCCACTGCAAAAACGTCGTTTTGTTTTGCATCCCAGACGGTTTACTTCCCACAGCTGAAGACTCTCGAGCTGGAGAGAGTGAGATCCACAGACTGGAAGTCTCAAAACTGTGCTCCGCAACAACCTTGGCAGAATCTTGATCGAAACCCATAACCTTACCAAGCCTTTGCAAGAGCAAAGCTCTTCACTGACTAATCTCCTCTAAGACGCGTTTTAACTCTTGGTGGGAACGGCTAATCAATGAGTGGGACACAACCAAAGGGATAATTTCGTGTTTTTTTTCCCGTGTCGGTAACTACAGTATAAATCCCGGCTAAAGCCGAAAAATGGAGTAGAGTACACGCTGGACCTCCAGTGTACGCAAAGACGTAGGAAATACCGCAACTGCGTAAGCACCACATCCCCAAACAAAGCTGGAGTGGCGCGCGCGATTGGGGCTATTGCGATACGCTGGGCACTACCTCAAACGCTCCATGTCCGAGGATGAGTGAGGATCACCCCAGCAGGGGATTTGATCACCATGGGCCACTATAGCTTCAACAAGCAATCGGACAAGAATGTCAATCCAATGCAAGGAAACCGCTAACCAATGCCCGCCATAGCTGCCTGGAAGAAACTGTCTAGAAGTGAAATTCTTCCGTTTCACGATTTCGCCATATTATGTAATGATGAACTTGCATTTAATGGACTCAACTTGGGATGGATCCATTAAATTGACGTCCCACGATGGTTAAAATCATTGAAACCACAAATAGCGAGTCCACTCCAGGCTCAATTTCTATGCTGTAGCTCGCAACGCATGCCAGATTCCTCTTGGACCTTGCCTGTGGATCAAACTCAAAGTCTCTTTGAAGAAGAAGAAAACATAGACATACCTTTGCAATCAGCTCTCCAGTATCAGTCCTGTGTAAGCAGTATTTCCCGGTGAAGGCGCTTCCAGTGAGCTTGAAATCGGGCGTGGTGTTCTCGCCGAGGTACACATCCACGCATAACTCTAGCCGGAAGAAGAAAGGCCGCTTCGTTGTAAAGAGGAGCTTGTCTTCGTCGAGATAGACCTTCCACTTGTTCTGGAAACTACATGCCTGCCTAACGGTTTTCTGAGAATTCGAAAGGAAAAGAAAGATGCGTTTCAAGTACCACTTTCTGGAGCACGAGAAGAAGCTTTCCACTGGAATCCATAACTCTCCGCTGGCGACCGCAGCCAAATTTCCCATCCACTGCAAAAACTTGGTTTTGTTCTGCATCCCGGACTGTATACTTCCCACAGCTGAAGACTCCCGAGCTGGAAAGAGTGAGATCTACGGCCTGGAAGTCACAAAACTGTGATCCAGCAACAGGCAAAGCCGCGACAGCCATAGTCTTAGCCTGGAGCTGGAAAATCACCGAGCCTTATCAAGATAAATTTTTTCCAGGCGATGAACAGAGAAATCCAGGATGCTCTGACTAACTTCCTTTAAGACGAGTTAAATAAAGCCACACTCCTCTGTGTCAGAGTTGTCTCGCTCGGTCAACTTTTCATGCGGTGAAAGTAAGATGGAGTTTTGTAACTCTTGAATGATCAATCAGTGGAGAATAAACCGTGAAGAGAGAGAAATATAAACTTTTGTGGATAATTTTGTTCCGAGGAGAAGGCCATGCTTTTGAGTTGCCTTGCATCTAATCTAGAACAAATCTTGATAGACAACTTAACTTGCGCAAGACCAGAATATCTCTGCAAAGAGCAGTCACAAAGGTTGTAGTTTTGACCTCCAATTTTGTAAAATTCATAGAAAATTTTCCTCAGAGGAATTTGTCATGCTCATTCCAGCTCTCGCGACTTTGTGATGATGTATGGCTGGCTTACGGATCTTCCTGGTGGCATCCCTCTCTTGTATTTGGTGTTGCTCTTGCGCAATCTATATGCACCAAAAACTAGAAATATTGTTAATCACCAGCTTTTACCACGTGCTCTCAAAAGTAAGTTCAAGGTTACTCTAGTGTGGAGCTTTTGGGGTGAACAACATTTATTCTATAGCCTCTTTGCTGGGTGTGCTGAAGAGCAGAAGGTTTCTTCTTTACAAATTTGTCTAAAATCATTTGAGAAACCTTTGCGTCAAAACGTCAATTCGTCCGTCATGGTGGCAAATTCGACCTAATAGCGAAGATACTAAAGAAGTTTTGCTAAGGCACGGATTTGCCTCTTACTGTGTGTAGCTCGAATTTTGATTTGCGAATATGCTAACCATTTAAATGGCATTTTTATCCGAGTGGCTGGCAAAATATCTCTTTTAAGTCCTTGTCACAAAGTAATTACATGAATTTCTCCTACAAGGTGACATGGTTTTGGTTTGCTATTTGATAGGCATTTACAAAGATTCCATGGAATCCATATGGCACTCTAGCAGGCAACTCTATAGAAGCCACTGTCTCAAGCGTGGGCGATTTAGCATCCATGATCAAAAGCTCCGAGACACCACTCTTCTCATCATGGACGTAGCTTAAGACGTATCCATCGTCTTCTTCCTCGCCGTTCGCCACAAAGAAAGGCTCGCCACAAAACTTACCACGTTCGAATCTCCTCGACGCCACAATGCACGGCTCCTTGAGGTCCGGGTCACTTGCACCGTCGATTACCACTCTGGGCAGTCGTGGAGCGTCTAGATCGACCTTGGCCAGGCCGGAGAATTTGGGCCATGGCCCATAGTAGCACATGTAGACGTACCGATTCTTTCGCCCCAGGAATTTCTGGTTGATCTGTCCAAAATCTAGTCCGGCCGAGCACACGTGTTGCTTCCACGACCGTCCAGATCGAAGGTCCAGGTGGATCTCGTGCAATCTGCTGGACAATCCGGCTACGTCATCGAACAGACATTCCACCGGCGAAATAGACGAGCTGAGCACGACGATCTTGTCCGTCCCTTCCTCCCACGCGTTGATGTAGTGGAATGACGTCCAATCCGGAACGTCGATCCAGCGAACGCCGGAATATCCAACGGTCGGGATGCGAGGGATCACCCCGAATCTGGGAACCTTGGCGGTATCTCCACGGATGGGCATCTTGTTCTGGAGCACTACATCCTGGATCTTCATCACGACCTGATTCTCTGGGAAGATTGCGTAGTTCTCCGTGATCGCAAAATCGTGAAACAGGCACGGCTCGCGCAACCACACGTCGAAATCGGGGCTTTTCCTCCCTTCCCGGCTCGCCCAGAAGTAGCGGAGGTGGGGATTGATCACTGGATTGAAGCTAAACGCGAAGAGCTCGCCAGAGGTTGGATCGATCTTTGGATGAGCGCACATTGGCAGTAGCAATCGCTTGTTGAAGTTGTAGCGACCCATGGTGATCAAATCCCCTGCTGGGGTGATATTCACGGCATATGGCATATCATCCTCGGACATGGCAAGAATTCGGCGATCGAAGTAGGCCATCCCAGCGTTGGAAGTTCCCATCCCGCCCAAGATATCGATCAGGCCCAGAGCCGCGCGCATCGCGAATAGCCCCAGTCGCGCGAGCCCGGGATAGCTGCTCATGGTGCCCAGTGTGTAGGGGAAGAGAATCTTGCCCGCAGTTTGCTCCTGGAGGAATCGATTGGTCTGGGTGAATCGCGCGCAGTAGATTGGAGCGTGATGTTCTTCGCGATCATCATCGCCCGGGAACTTGATCGCGTGGAGCATCCCGTGGCCATCGAAGTAGTGGTAGCCGGCGGGAGGGGGATGGAGTGGATTGGAGCCATTGCGGATGTAAGCACCGCCGCGGAGGCAGCGAGGGATCGAGCCAGTGACTCGGCGGCATGGCGTCGGCGGGGATTCTCCGACCGGGGCGAAGTTGTCCGCGAGCTGGATCTTGGGGTCTTGCGAGGGAGGGAACTCCCGGGGATCGATGTACGTGGCGATGAGATTCTCCACAGTGTCGCACAGGGCTACTGCCGCCGCCCGCGCCTCGTCGATTGGATTGGGGATGGAGAATCCGAGGGCGTTGTTGTTCTTGCGAGAGGTCTCTCTCGATTTGGTGGCGGTGGCTGTGATCCTTGATGATCTTCTCCTGGGTGGAGCTGGGAAGAAGGAGCTGCTAATGCCATAACCAGTGCCAATGGCATACATTGCGACCACCTTCCAAATCAAAGCCCAAGACCAGTGCCAGTGGCATACATTGCGATCAATCACAAGTAATTTGATCTCTCAACCGATGTTTTGAGCTATGGATTGATCATCTCTCTGAGCCACACACTTCGCATAGATATTTCCACCAAAAAGGTGTCTCCGCGAAATATCAGTTGGCATGTGAGTCGGTGGTAGGGCTGACTCAGAATAACGGTACCTTGCCATGTCAGCGAGTGAGTCATCATAGTTTGGGTGGTCCTGCGTTCGATTCTAGCCAGCCGCAAGAGAAAGTTTTTAAAAAATATTGGGGGTTTCGTTTTTAGGGTTCTAGCTCGATGAGAATCGGATCGAAAGAAATGTGTCCCGATTTTCCAGCGATAGTTTTTCCTGGATCGCCTACATTCAGCTTCTCGAAGCGATCTCCATCATTGTGGGAAGAAATTGATTTCGCGATTGGATAGGGTTCTTGTTGACGATAGGACACATTTCTAGTACGACTGATTCGCAGTACACTGAACAAAGGCAACGACATGCCTGGTGAGTTTGTTTACGCATCCTTTTCTTTTTTCTTCTTAGATCGATCGATTCACGTCACAAAACGTGGTTTTGACTTCCACAATGGTTTTTTTTTTTTTTTTTTTTGGTACCAAGCGGGTCATCCACACCTCATTATCGCAAATGCGTGGCGACTAATCACGGTATTTATTTCCTAATCCCACTCGTTGTCTTAAGCTCATTTCTTTTTTTGCTTTTTTTGTTTTTGGTACCAAGCGGGTCATCCACACCTCATTATCGCAAATGCGTGGCGACTAAACACGGTATTTATTTCTTAATCCCACTCGTTGTCTTAGCTCATTTCTTTTTTTTGCTGCTACGTTTACGTCAGGTTGTGTTGCTCATCGTTTGTCTTGACCGATTTCCAGATACCGATGAGGAGCGGCCCCTTTGCTTCGGTGTTCCATGTCGCCATCGCCATCAGCAGCAGCGCAGCACGGCGAGGAGTATGCGTAAATTCCCGGCGGTGGCAACAGTGCTAATGCTAGTAGCACTTAAGATCCCCGTAAGCCACGAACAAAAACGATGACGGCTTCTTCAAGGACGACCATGGCACTTAATCAAGTTGAGGGAAAGGCAGGAGTAGGCTTGGTCCCTGTGGTTCGGCACGAGTTTTGTGCGCACGATGGCATGGAGTTGATACTCTCCAAGGTCGAGGCATGGAGTTGGGGCAATTACACTGTCACCGATGGAGTTGGGAATTTCCTCATCACGGTGGAAGGGAGGCTGAGCTTGCGATGGACTCGGACTCTGCTGGATTCGAGCGGGACACGGATCCTCAAGATCCACAAGAAGTTCATGGTTTGTTGCAGCTCCTAGATAGCAAAGTTTTGGTTTTTCTTGTTTACATTTTTCTGACAAGGTTTCTCTTTCCGAGACAGAACCCAAGCATCTTCGATGCCTTCATTGACGGTGAAGACGGCGCGAGGAGAGTGTTCACAGTGCAATCTTCGTTGGAAGCACCGGCTTCACGCTTTTCTCTCAAGGTGTTCTTGCCAGTGAAAGGCTCCGAGCCGGATCTCTCCATGGATCCCGACTTTAAGCTCGAGGGGGCCTACTTCCAAAATGATTACGGTATCTATTGCGGAGAAAGGTCGATTGCACAGGTACGATTTCTGTGATCTTCCTCTTTCTTTTCTGTACTTTGGAAAGAATGTTTCTCAGTATGCACCTGACAATTGATATCGTCCCGTGCAGGCCTCACGAAAGCCAGACGCGTCCAGCTTTGTTCTGGGATGCGGTGCTTATACCGTTGCGGTTTTTCCTGGGGTCGACCACGTCTTTGTAGTCGCCCTCGTACTGATAATGGACGAGCTACACTTGGAGGCCAGCGTGGGTCACGACTCGACTTAACTTGCGTGGAGAAGCGAAAACGAGAGAGAAACATCACTACTGCCTTGTAAGTGAACTCCATTTTTTCGGGTTTATATCTTCGTTGGACATACATCGCAGGGATTTATATGTCGCTACTGTGCTGTGGTGTTTATCTTAACCGACACGAGAGAAAAAAAACACGAAATTATCCAGAGAAGTTGATTTTTCCTTGGTTTATCTCTTCATGGCTTTTTCTGTGTTTGACATTGCTTGTTGAGCTTACAGCAGGTCCCACTGATTGATTACCTGTTCCGTACAAAACTCCAGCTCAAATGAAGATTACTTCCACCGCACGGAAAGTTGACCGAAGAGCAGACGTGTGGCTTCATTTACGCTTAAAACGCGTCCTAGAGGAGATTAGTCAGAGCATGGAAGCCTCCTGGATTTCTCCGTTCATCTTCCTCGCAAGCATGGAGAGCTTTGCTCTTGAAAAGGCTTGATGGTTTTCCAGTTCCAAACTGAAGGCTATGGGTTTCGATCAAGATTCTGCCAAGGCTGTTGCGGCTTTGCCTGTTGTTGGAGCACAATTTTGCGACTTCCAGGCTGTGAATCTCACTCTCTCCAGCGCGGGAGTCTTCAGCTGTGGGAAGTATACCGTCCGGGATGAAAAACAAAACGACGTTTTTGCAGTGGATGGGAACTGTGGATGCGGCCGCCAGCGGAGAGTTATGGATTCCAGTGGAAAGGTTCTTCTTGTGCTCCACAAAGAGGTACTTAAACACATCTATCTTTTCCTTCGAAACTTAGAAACCCGTTTGCAGGCATTTAGTTTCCAGAACAAGTGGAAGGCCTATCTTGACGAAGACAAGCTTCTCTTCACAGCGAAGAAGCCTTGCTTCCGGCTAAAGTTCTGCGTCGATGTGTACCTCGGCGAGAACACCACGCCCGATTTCAAGCTCACTGGATGCTGCTTCACGGGGAAGTACAGCTTGCGCAGGACTGATACTGGAGAGCTGATTGCAAAGGTATGTCTCTCTGTTATTCTGCGACGAAGAGATTTTGAGTTTGATCCACAGGCAAGGTACATATGGAAACTGGCAAGCATTGCGAGATGCCACAGCTACAGCATAGAGATTGAGCCTGGAGTGGACTCGTTGTTTGTGGTTTCTATGTTTCTAGTCATGAACGAGATCTACCTCGACAAACCAGCTGCTGGTGGTGGTGGAGGTTGAAATTGCGGTTCATTGCTTGTTTCTAGTATACTATTTGTGAGTGTTTTCAAGGATTATGTTATTACTGTGTTGGGCCTCTTTGGCGTTTTTCTGCTCTTTCCAAGTCTCTAGATTCATCGTTGGAAAAATTCACTCGGATCTAAATTTCTTTAGATCTCTGATCTCTTTTAAAGATTTCTTTAACAGACATTCCCACTGGAATTATGTTGTTTCCTGTGTCTAACTAAATTTCCTTATGCTGAGGAAGCTTTGATGTGAGAATGGCTCCATGCATTTTCTATCCACCTTCGGATTTACATAGTCCGGCTATTAGTTTTGTTAAAGTTTAAAATTTAATGTTTTATTAACGTGTTGTAGGGCGATCTCTTCGCATGTAATAATAATAATACATGTTTTTGGAGGTCTCAATTGGAGGCATGAGACCACTAGTGGGTATTTGTGATAATCAAATATTTAGTCATTCTCATTTCAACGTAGGAAAGTGTGAGAAATAAGGCCATCGAAATTTGAATACCGTAAACAGATCTCTGAGATTTTACTCATATTTTTGCATCTCAGAAATTAGCAATGCTTAATGCAGTGGATGGCAAGCCTTAGAACTGATAACTCCTACAAACTCTAACATGCAAGAAGAAGAGTCGTCAATTGCTTGAATCAATCTTTCAACTCTTACTATAATACATTTTTTTTTTTTTGGGGGGGGGGGGGCGGGAGGGGCCTTTTGGCGCCCAGGTAGATACATACAACTACTTGTGAAATGAAGAATGTATTACCTGTCTACTCTCTCCAACTTGACGCTCCCTTAGCTCCTCCATGCGACAAAGATAAATGGCCAGCTGATGGCCTGGTTCTCGGCCTAGTTCTCTAGGAAGCCCGCGGGATCCCTTTAGCTCGTCTTAAGAGAGCATGTGGAAGGCTATACAGTCATAGACAACGTGAAAGACATCTTCCACCCTGTAAATTGCATTATTGATCCGTCTCACACAGATCCCAATGACTTAGCAAATAACGATGATGATAAAACTAGGTATTCCAACGCTTCCAAGTTGGGAGTATGGTCAGGGACGCTAAAAGTCCAAAGAAAACGATAAAATTACAACGTCCCGTTCTTGTTTTCCAAAGCTTGTCTCTACGCTGGCTTGCGTACCATAAAGTCTAGAATCGTGGCCTTTCTTCCCAGCTTTCCTCTCTGGACCGGCTTCAGATTTTGAAGTGCCGCTTTCAGCAGAGACATCAATTTTCAAATAGCTGGAGTGGTTATAAACTCAAGCTGTCTGAACTTCGCAAGTTCTGCCACAAACCTATTGTTGTGGTGTGCCAAGAACAATTTGGGGGATCTATTTGTGATGTCGCGACGAGGTGATCCAGCCATGTCATGAACATAGTTTTTGTGTTGCTATATAACGGTAGTAGTTAGAGCTAGTTTGTTTGCTGTGTTTTTTTTTTCCTGATTCACTATGTGGCTGCCCTTCGCTTGAGAGACAACACCCACAGGAACAAAAAAACAAGCATCTTCCACTCAAAGGTAGCAGTACAGCAGAGGAGCACCAGATTGTGATCTCGTAAATTCAGTACTAGCATTACAATATGCGATTCCGAAAGCTTTTGGCGCGTGAAAACAGACTACTATACTACTGCTGCTGATCAAGCCCACAAGATGGTCAGGTTTTCTTGGCTGAGTGGGGGAATAGATAAGTTTCCAATTTCTTTTCTGTTCTTTCTTTTGTTTTTCTAATATTTGAAGAGTTGGCAAGTCGTGGAGTGGAGAAGTGTCGAGATTCTAGAGAATATTTTTGCTGATCCAGCTTTATCTCGGCTGAGTGGGGGTGTGATTCCATTGCCTTGTCACGGTTTGAAGAATATATCTATCCTAATTGATTCCCACTTCTTCAAAATGGCTGGTTCTTCCGGCCAAGCATCTATTACGTCAAGAACACCACAATAGGACGCAATGAGGAGTGGCTTACCAGTCATGAAGTTCAAGTATGGTTTTTCTCTCTTTTGTGAGAACTTTTGCTGGAAATGATTGTTTGCACCCATCTCATTTTCTTCTGTAAATCCCGGGAAAAAGAAAGAAGGCATCCTTGTCGCTGCCAATGCGCTTGAAAGAACACCAGCCCCAGTGCTAGGAGTAGCAGCAAAATCTTTCTTTAACTCCAAAGCTCGCAGTCTCGATAACTTGTTTGCTCCGAAGCCATTGTATAGAGTTTCTCGTCAATTTCTTGGCGATACCAGATCTATTGTTCGGAATGGCAGCAACAGCAGCAGTGATGGTGGAGGAGAAGAAGTTTAGTAGGGATGAGTTCGTGGAGCCCGACGAGAACAATGCCACCGACGTGTCATGGAACAGACCGTCAAGGAAATCGACAAGCGGAAACTGGAAAGCCTGTTGGCTCATCTTCGGTGAGCAAATGTCCCACCCACCTTTTGCAACGGACTAACACTAGCTTCTCATGCTTCTGCGATATCTCAACTTCTCTTCTTTACCATACTTCATCTTTTCTTCTATAACTTTTTCTTTATATTTTCCTGATAGTACTTTGTATGTCTCTGTGATCGATCGCCAGGTTGCGAGGTGTGTGAGCGAGTTGCGTACTACGCCATCTCTTCCAACTTGGCCAACTATCTCTTTCAGCAGCTCCACGAGAATCGAGCGGACGCTGCCAACAACGTGAACAATTGGAGCGGAACTCTCTACCTGGTGCCACTCCTGGGAGCGTTTCTCGGCGACTCTTTCGGCCGATACGTCACCCTTTCCACCTTCCTCTGCATCTATCTCATGGTAAAGCTCCCATCCTTATAACCTTGTTTCTTCGAACTTACCGAGGCTTTGGGCGCAGGCCCTGGTTCTCATCACCGTGTCCGTCAGCGTCCCAGGCATCAAGACTGAGAAAAACCAGCCCGTGAGCTCCACCCAGTCGGGATTCTTCTACTTTGCGCTCTATCTCATGGCGTTGGGCGCCGGCGGGATCAAACCCAACGTCACCTCCTTCGCAGGGGACCAATTCGACGAGGAAGACCCACAGGAATCCAAGCGCAAAATGTCTTTCCTCAACTGGTGGTTCGTGAGCATCAGCTCGGGCAACGTGTTCTCGGTCACTGCCCTCGTCTACATCCAGGTGACTTACGGATGGACGTGGGGATGGGGCGGCGCCACCGCTGTCGTCGCCCTCGCCACCCTCCTCTTCTTCTCCGGGAGATCAAACTATCGCACCCAAAAGCCCGCTGGAAGTCCCTTCACCCGCGTCGCCCAGGTCCTGGTGGCGGCCACCAGGAAGTGGAATGTGTGCGTTCCAGACGACGATGAGAGGCTGTACGAGCCGAGCGACAAGGAGGCGCAGTTCCCACACATCCGGAACCTCCCCAGGAGTAAAGAATTCACGTAAGTCCATCGAGCTAGTTAAAGAGAGAACAATCTTAGCTTACTACGATTGATCGCGAGCAGATTCCTGGACAAGGCGGCGGTGGTGAGCGAGAAGGATCTGCAGAGCAAGGAAGTGAAGCCGTGGAGCCTGTGCCCAGTGACCCAAGTGGAGGAAGTGAAGCTCCTGGTGCGAGTGATGCCCATCTGGTTCACGAACCTCATCTTTAGCAGCGTGTTCGCCCAGGTGGGCACCTTCTTCCTCAACCAGGGCGACACCATGGAGCGGCATTTGGGGCGATTGCAGATCCCAGCCGCCTCATTCACGCTCTTCATCACCCTCACCATTTGCATCATCATGCCGCTCTACGACCGGTGCTTCGTGCCATTCGCGCGCCGGATCACGGGGAACGAGCGAGGGATCACGATGCTCCAGCGCATCGGGATCGGCCAGGTCATCTCCACGGTCTCCATCGCCATCGCCGCGCTGGTGGAGATGAAGCGCTTGCGAGTGGCTAGGCAACACGGTCTGTTGGATCGCCCCCAGTCGACGGTCCCGATGAGCGTATTCTGGCTCTTGCCGCAGTACGCCCTCGCGGGAGTTTGCGAGGTTTTCATCTCCGTCGGCCAGAACGAGTTCTTCTACGATCAAGCCCCGGATTCCATGCGAAGCATTGGAGCCGCGCTCTATCTCAGCACCATCTCCATCGGGAGCTTCATCAGCAGCTTGCTCGTGGAGATGGTCGTCAAGTTTACAAGCACAAAAGGTGGCGGGGTTGACGGCAACTGGATCAATGACAATCTCAACAGGGCTCACATTGATTACTTCTACTGGCTGCTCACTATTCTCAGCATCATCAACCTTGGGATATATGTCTTGTGCGCGAGGTGGTATACTTACAAGAATGTGGGAGATATTGCAATTTGATCATCAATCGATGTTATGCAGCAGTTTGCGAGACGAGAGCATACCAGGAGAAACCAAGAGAAGGCAAACCTGGTTGGAATCTATTAATAAGATACTTATTGTTATATCTTTTAAGTTTAGCTCAAAGTTTGAACTGTGGAAAATGAGAACAGTCGAACTTGAGATTCCAAGCTCAGCCCTTTGTAGTGTTCTAGTAAAGAAATATTTGAGTTGCTTTTGATTAACTGTGGAAACACAGATCCCTAGCAGGAGGTATCCAGTGAGTTGGAGTGGCCAAGAAAGATTTCTGGTAACTTGTGCTGGCTAGCTCCACAAAGCTTAGAAAGCTGTACGTTAAATGAGAATCCTTTTGTCAACAAGTGGGAGTTTCTTTGCATACTTTTGCAAATGGTCGTGGCAACAACCACAACAAAGAGCTAAGAGAACATAGAAGAAGATTAGCGGCGGATTCTAACACAGCCAAGAAGCTAGGAGAGAGAATTGTTGGCAGGCAACACACAATATCTTCTTGGTGTTACAATCTGGTGGCTTCAGAAGAGTGCCCTGGAGCTGCTGGGGACAAGCCGGAAGAGCTTGAGAGCAGGCAAGGAAAAAAGAGAGGAGGAGTTTATTTTTCACCTTGATGTTCAAGTTGTTTCTTTGCTGTTTTTCCACTCATACGGTTTACATGGTCTCACTGAAGCATTAGACCAAAACTCTTAAGCTTTCGATAACGTTAGAGCTATTTTTGGTTTGCAAGATGGATACCTAGAATATTCTTTAATTTAACAAATTTTGTTAGTGATCAAGTACAAACTATCCTGTAAGGATATACTTGAATATCCTAGTATATTCTATCATCATTTAGATTAAAGTATATACATTACACCAAGTACCACGTCAGCTGGAGCCTGGGTACAC